TAAACATGTTTCAAAACGGTGACAATGGGGCACAACTCTGAGTATGCTACTAACCACCGATTACTTCAGTGGTTGAATCTGTATGTAAGGACTGTTATAAACCTTCTCTTAGTAAAGTCATCGACTCAATCACTAGAAAGTGTCGTGATCTGCGTTGTGCCCACTCTGGCCCAGGATGCGCAGCTGTGAGGCAGCTTACGGCTGCCCGTCCCGTCTGTGGTGAGTTATGCCACCACCTGGGCATGGGACGATGGGCTTAGAGAAAACATCTTGACATTTCTGCATAGTCAGGGCTTTATGGACAAGAAACAGTAGAACATCAAAGGCTGGGCCTTAGAAGTCACCCAGAGGCCAGTAAGGGATTCGCGCCTCTGGTGACCTGGGCTTCCGCATCAAAGGGTTTGAGCCCCAGCACCGTGCGTCTCACCTGACAGCTGCCACAGACAGACTTCAGAGACCCAGGAACAGAAGGTGACCCCACCTGACACTCCATGCAGCTCGTCTCCCACAGGGCCTCAGCCTCTGGCTGTCACCTCTTCCTGGGACAAAGGTTTTTAAGTATCTGTCTACAGACAGTTTGCTTCCTCTGGAATGATTGATAAAAATGGTTCTTGATTATTGAGAGACTTTAAGAATTTAATCTATATTTACAACTCGTTTTTGGAAATGTCATGTGAGTGCTGGGAGTCCAACTTTTGGAAGGCACTTTTTCAATTCTTTTCTCACAAGAGCTTAGGATTGAGGGCACTTACACCTTCTTTCAGTGACTAATAACTTTTAGTAAAACATGTTCTTTCAATGCTATCCATTAACCAACCTTTCCTGAATGTCCTCAACATGGCGAGCTATAGTTTTGTCATCTCTAGTATTTTGTCAGCGTTTTTACAATGTGTTTCAATATATACACCTCTCTATTAATCAGCAAATAAAGAAGCCAACTGATCTGTATTCAAGATTCAACTCATAGATTACTATTTTTGATATACCTGAAAAGTGCTTTTTCACCACTAGTTTCTGAAGTCAGCATAGCTTCTCCCTTGTGGCTCTTTTGACGATTCGACAGGCAGGACTGAACAAGCAAGCTCGATGCCCAAGCCCAGGCTTCCCTCAGTCCTGGACAGCAATTCTCCTGTAGATGAGACCTCGCCAGGCTTCCGGGCATTAAGACCCTCGTTGGTGTAGACTGTCACTGCCTGCTGTGATTTTCCTGTCCTGCTGTTCTCTTTGTTAGCGTGCTGGACGGCTCCCTACACAGTGGCACTGACTGCCCCCAGGACACCACTGGCAGGTCCTAAGAACACACACGCTCAAGGTAGCTCAGGTGGTGAGACTTTGAGGGGAAGTGACATCTGAAGCAGATCTTGAAAGAGGAACAGAAATTCAACAGAAACTGGCTCATCATCCAGGAAGCATTTGTCTCCTCGACCTCAACACCAGTGAAGACACCACATCCTGTGACTCTTGCCTTATTAAAAAGAATACCCACTGAGTACTGACCACTTGGCAAGAACAAGGAATGCTAAACTCTCTACAGTTACCTAAGCCACCAGAGCAGACCTGTAAGGGAAGATGTATTTAGTCCTCCTTTACAGATGAGGAATGCGAATAGTGACAGTAAGTGACTTGCCCACCATCACCAGCCAGTGAGTAACGCATCTGGGACTCTCATCTCACGTCAGTCATTCTGCTGCTCTCACAACACTCTGACTCACGGGGGACACCTTTTCTTTCCAGGGTAGCCCTTTGCTCTTTCCATGTGATTCAGGGAGGGGTGTCAATCATGAGAAGACCTATCAGCCCATCAATTTTCCAGGGTCATAAAATTCAAAGATCATCCTTCCAGTTGGTTTACTCATAGATCTCTTTCCAGTTCCCACCAGAGCCCACTGTCACTTATCTCTAGCCAAGTGACTACATATGGCAGGCAGCACTTGCCCGAGTGATTTCTTCAGTCTTCATTACTAGGGCTCACGGACTGGGCTGCCAGACAGCCAACTCCTGGAGACTGAGTCTTAGGTGCAGATGAAGGCCTGTGGGAGCTGGAATGGGAGGAGGAAGGTGCAGGAAGCCCACAGCAGCTCGTCAGAGCTCAAAAGCAGCTCTGAGAGCTGTGGCTGGTTACCTTTGGTGAAGGGTTCTCTGTAGCTAAGGCTCAGGAACGGAGAAGATGGGCTAACCTGAGCCTTGAAGTAGGAAAAACGAGTTGCCCAGGAGTGAGGTGTAAGGGGCACGGGGTCAGAGGACGGCAATGTGCTCCTCCAAGCCCCACAGGCCCACTGCAGGCTCTGTGGCCCCACAGGACTCAAAACCTACACCCGACAGGAAGACAGAGTCTCAAACCTGAGGACTGCGAGGTGCCTGGAGGGAAAGGGAACTTACCAGCAATCTTCACTCTGAAGAGCCTCCACTTAGTTTTAAGAACCATGTATGATTTAGAACAAGAGGAATGACAAAGATCTATAGCCAATATTCTGGTAACTTACAAAGCTTTTAAACAAAGTATAAATGTTTGAAAATTAAACATTTATGTAAAAATCGTTTCACATCAACCAATGAATCTAACATGCCAGAAACAAGCCTCTAATATCAAAATGCCAGGAAGCCTCTTGTTTGCTCTTGTCCCAGCGCCCTGACGCCAGCTTCCACCGCCTCGCCTCTCCGTTTGGGTTTCCAAGGAAGCGGATCTGGCCAGTAGAGCCTTGTGCTGCGTGGGAGGTCCTGCTCATCTGCCTCCCCTGGAAGCAGCAGTGGGTGCAGCCCAGCAGGACTGGTCTCAACACAGTTGTGACATGAAGGACCAGTGTGATCTCACTATGTTGAGACCCATCTTACATTGAGAGCAAGGCCCTTTGTGATCGCGGCATTATTCAGGCACCGCCAGTGCTTGCCCAGGCACTTCCCATCCTCACCCACTAGGGCTCCTCTGTCAGCCACCAGAGGTCCTCTGGCCAAGTTTCCTGCTGCTGCTGCTCTCATCCTGGACATTTGGATAAAAATAGAATGCTTTGAACTTATCTCTGTGGTTCCTTTTTTTTTTTTTTTGTCATCCCACTAGTCAGCCCTACTACTAAATCTTAGCCCAATGTTTTAATCAAAACTCCCTGGAGAGCCTGAAGCAGTGGCACACACCCACAATGCCAGCTGCTCAAAGGTTGAGGCATGAAGGCATGAAGACTGTTAAGTCCAGAAGCTCAAGGCCAGTCTGGGCAACAGAGCAAGACCCCATCTCCAAGGAATAGTTTAAAAAAAAAATCATCTTTCACTTTTCCTAGCAGCCAAATTTAGGTACCAAAGGGGGAAAAAAAAGAAAAAAGTCATTGCAGGTCTTTATATAGTATAATTAGATCTGTTTTGGTCTGGGCTGCTAAAACTTACTTGTCTCCCAAAATATGCTCTTCTCCTAGAAGTACCAAGGGACAAGTAATTTGAACTGTAGGAGGGCAGGAGTGGAACCAGGGTGGACTGATGGGGTGTTAGTGTCTTGTCACTGTGACCAAAAACACCTTGCAAGAACAACCTAAGAGGAGGATCATGGTCTCGGAGGTTCCAGTCCAGGATCAGCTAGCTCCACTGATCTTGGCCTGAAATGAGGAAGAACATCATGGAGGAAGGGTACATGGGAGAAAGCTGCTCAGCTAATGGCAGCCAGGAAGCAGAGAGGAGCAGGCCCCCAGTGACTCCTCCTCCAACTAGGTCCCATGTCCCAGCAGTCCCTTCAGCTCTCAGTGGACTCACCTATTTGGCCAGAGCACTCGGGGTGCAACCATTGCCTAAAAGGCTCACCTCTGCACACAGTCAAAATGAAAACTGAGACATCACAGAGACTCCCTTCCCAACTCAGTACCCAACGCAGGGCTACACCTGGTCGGGCGCACTCTTCTCCAGGAGAACTGCTTCTCCTTTCTCATTCTCCTCCCATCCCCCACCTTGTGGTCCAGTGACCTTGAAGGCTGCCCTGCTCCTCAAGTGCCCAAAACATCCACACCAGAGCCATGCAGAGGGGACTGTCTTCAACTCTCCACCTGGGCATTGGTGAACAAACTTCAACTGAACCAGACCCATCTGTCATCCACCTATTCAGCATTGAAGTTGGGGGCCTCTCCAAGCTTGGGATAGGGACAGCCATCCCCCCCCCACAAACTCTGTAGCATCATACTTGAGAGGAAGCTGTCCAGCCAGAAACTCCATGCCCCTACCCATCTGCCAGTGCTTACCATGGATTTTTGCAACATAGATTTGTTGAGCACAAACTAGGGGCAAATGCTACTCTAAGTATGCTTTTAAAAAAAAAAGTCCTTGTTCTCACAGAGCTTACTGGACAATATATAATAAATAAGCAAGATCATTCAGATATGAGAGATAACTAAACACAAGGGTAACTGAGACAGAATGGGGTTTCTCCTTTACTCCAGAAGGCACCAAAAACGAGCAAGACAAACCAGCCTTGTGCGATTCTGGGAGGATACAGATTTAGGGTACAGAGGCCTGCATGGCCTGTGCTACTTGGCCCCAGCACATGAGCAGAGGGAGGAGTCATGGAGAGCGAGCAGATGTTCCACACTGGAACGCAGAGGGTGCACAAGAATACCAAACAAGTGCTTTTCATTCATTTGTAATTCTCATCAATAAAAGGGAAGGCCTAGTCAGGTGTGGTGGTGCACGCCTGTAACCCCAGCATCTCAGGAGGCTAAGACAGGAGGATGGTGAGTTCAAAGACAGCCTCAGCAAAAGGGAGGTGTGCTAAGCAACTCAGTGAGACCCTGTCTCTAATAGGGCTGGGGATGTGCATGGCTCAGTGGTCGAGTGCCCCTGAGTTCAATCCCTGGTACCCCCCGCCCCCGCCGACCCCTCAAAAAAGGAAAGCTAGCACTTCTCTGAAATGCCACTGTAAGGCCCCATGGCAGAGGGACTGCCTAGGACATATGAAGCCCTGGGTTTGATCCAAAGCACCATAAAAAAACACAAAACACTGTAAAATATAAGTTGTCATAAGATATGTGTCTCATGAGTTAATATTTTAATATATTTTTTTAAACAAAAAGAAAACACTAATCAAACACAAAACCTATAACTTCACATTGTAAGTTTTAACAGGGTAATAATATCTAAGCAAGGAATACATGTGAAAACTTCTCCATAGTTCAATTTTAAATTTCAAAATCATTCAGTAATCTGTTATATAGTGCTGATGAGAAGTGATAAATCTTGCATTTTCTTCCCACCCTCCCAAATATCACTGAAAGGTCAGAGTCTATGAGAAACAGAAAATGACAAATTTCAGATGCTATTGTTTCAAAGCTTTCCATAAATTTAAATAGCCACATCCTGCTCTGCTCCCACATAACTGCACTGAAATGTAGCTTCCACCAAAAATGGACCATGGGCTGTAGGTGTGGCTCAGTAGTAGAGCATCCGCCTGGCATGTGTGAGGCCCTGGGTTCCATTCCCAGCACCACCAAAAAAAAAAAAAAAAATCACACACTGATTCAGACTCCAGAGGACCAGAGTTTTTAGAAAGTGCTCACACAGATGACACGTTCCCCAGGAAACGCAAACGCAGACTGTATCAAGCCCAGTTCCATCTTCATGCAGTGCTATTTTTCAAACCTGAAAAGCTGACTGGGACAGATAGGGGCCCACAAACTGAGGACAGAAACGTGGGGGTTCCAGGACGCCTGGCCCATTTTCTGTCCTACTTCCTCTTGATGTTTACAGCTCAGTTTTACTTAGCCAGATTCTAAGGTTAGATAGCCTTGATCCTCTTTAAATTTTCATTTCCTCTACATTTTAGGGCCTGATAAATATTTTTGCAATTCTTCAGTTAATACAAAATGGAAAACTGGCATTATGCAACTCAGTCTGTCACTTACCGTGACCCACCAACTATGCCTTATTTGCTCTTTTTATTAATAAAGGTAACTTTTTAATAAGTCGTATGTGAAATAAAAAGTACAAAAATTAACACCTTCACAGCTTGTATTCACATGAACACACTGCACCACTTCTGTTTTTCTTACTTGCACATTTTAAAATCTTAGTAACATTACAAATGTCAGTGACCTACATCACAGCAGCACAATGCATGTTGGTATAAATGAGACTGCTGGAAATTCTACTACTGGCTCTGTTTTTAAAGGGTTTACAGTGAAATTATATACAATATATAAAGCTTGTCAAACTGAATATATATGGTCTTAGGCCATTACTACTGTTTCATTCCAATTTGGATTTAAACATTGACTTACAGATCTGAAATGAAAGCACTGCTTAGTGGTTTCAGATGCACTTTGGTATTTACTATGTTTCAAGGCATCTGTACAGTAAGAAGCTGCAGCTGCAACAAAGAGGACCTTGCCTAAAGCTACCTACGTGGACAAGAGGAGACATGGTGACCGTAAATGTCAACTGTTACTGACAAGTCAAAGAATTAAAGGTCAAAACCACTCTAGATTTCTTTTAAATAAACAAAACTAAATAGCACACACAAGAGTACTTTAATATAACCTTAATGGTCTAACAAACCTTCCAAAAGGAAGGAAATACAAAATAAAGTTGATACATCAAATCTACTTACATCAATATACTTCAGTATCACAAATTTACTGGATCTATGTGCAGAACCACCTAATATCAAAACATACTAAGTGGTAAGGAAGCTTTGTTTTCAGATGGCTGAAGCTAAGGCTCCAAAGACCACTGCAGCAGAGTTGTGCAAACCTACGGCTTTATTGACACCGCTCCTTATGCTCGTGACACTGACGTTTCCATGGGTCCCTCCCTGTGATGAGCCTGAAAGCAGTCAGTCAACTTCCACAGAGAAACATACAGCTAGGCCAGATTAGGAATATTACATCTTCCACACATGGGCTCATACAGGAAGTATTTTGTTCAGTAAAATGAAAAGCTAATTTTTAAAAATATCTGCAGTCTTTTTGAAATGCAAGGCACCAACAGGGAATAGACATTCCAGCAAAGAGTGATTGTCTGGAAAAAAAAAAATATGGAGCTGATCAGTCCTTTGTCCTTTGTTAATTAGAAGACCTCCTCTTCATGTCTATGCAACATCTTCCAGATAATCCGCGACATCACTGAGCTGGGAGACAGTCAGGTCTTGTGTGAGGTCATCAAGCTTTGTTGTTCAAAAGAAAGGAAAGAATTAGTATCACAATGTGGATAGCATCTTAATTTAAAAAAATACAGAATGCTATAATTTAAACATTTTTTATTCTATATTTGCTTCATATTTAAAACTCCTGAGATAGGTGGTAAAACTGAAATGTTGAGAAGGGATTTGCCTCAAATCCTACGGCTAAAGAAAATCAGCACAACCTTCTGAGTTCAGTGCTTTGTACTGATTATACTCGCAAATATTTCAAGTGAAAATTAAAAAGGAAACAACATCCTAGAGACCTTAAACCAATTTAAGAAACTGAAATCCATGGAAGACATCACAAAATCTCCTTAGGTGAGCACAGCCCCAGTATGTGATTCTGTTGATAGCAAAGGTGTCTGAATTGCCAAGTCTCTAAAACTAAATTTTACCCAAATAAGCATTACTGAAATTCGTTGAAAATGTTCAGATTTCTCACTTGAAAACTACTATTGCCTACTGTGTTTTTAAATAATGGTATGCACCTTAAGTTCCTAACATCAAACTTCAGGCCCAACCGATACCTGCTAACACTGAATTCATGGAAGCTGGAGTCGGTCAGCCTGCTGGTGGCTGCAGTGAGGCAGGCGGACCCAGGACCCCAAGGTTGGCCAGAGCCTTGTACTCCAGCTTTGGGGCCACCAGTGCTGTACAAATGAGCATTCACTAATTCTGCTTAAGCACTAACCAGCCAAAATGGACATATTCATTTTTGTAAACTTCTTAGGCTGATGATCTTAACAGCATGGAAAATCCAAGGGTCAAGACACATGCTCCAAGACACAGGAATGGTGGCATGCCTTCTCAGTCCCACCCAGACCCACCCTCATCTGCATGAACCAGCTACCACAGCAAGGAAGGTCCTCAGGACTTCAAACCATGCCCTAAGCACCATCTACAGCTGTGTTCCCAATTCCAGGCAAAGCCAAGTAGTTAGGACAAAACTGTATGCCTGAAAAGACTAGTAAGTGGCCTCTCAGGGGGAGAGTGGGCCAACCCTGAACCACTACATGTTACACAGGACCACGATACACGACAGGAAGGACACAGTCCCCTCTTGAGATCTGAGATGCACTCTTATCTATCTGTTCCTCTGTCCCCAATACATCTTCCCATTTCATTAATCTTTCAGTATAGAGAAATGTTAAGTTAGGAATAAAACCCTTTTGAATAAATAAGCTCTCTCACTCTTGATCCAAATATAGTCCTCGTGTAAAACTATCACAAGGAAAATTATTAGAAATCTTAACTGAGGTTTTCACACACACACACAAATAAAAAATAAAAACCAAAAACCTGAAAATGACAGAAAAGCCTACAGATTATAAAAACAGATCCAGATACCCTGGAACTCCACGTCCTCCTGCGATCATTATTACAGAATAAAACAGGTAAGGTATTCCATTTTATTTGCAAAACAATCAAGTACTATATTAATACTGATTCTAAACTATAGACAAGAGTGAATACAGGAAAATTTGTGGTCTAGAAGACAATCTTTCTTAATATAGATAATTCAGTCACTCCAGGCTTTTGAAGGCTGCTTTCTTGATTTCTATTTCAGGTAATTCACCACTGACATACAGCAACACTAATGAGTTTTGCATGTTGATTCTGTACCCCGTAACTGCTGAATTTGCGTATTGGTCCTAAGTTTTTTTGTGGCGTCTATGGGGTTTTATAGCATTTAAGACCAATGCTTCTGCAATAGTGGCAACTTGACTTCTCCTTTACAATCTGGACGCCCTTTCTCTTGCTTGATTGCTCTGCCTGGGCCTTCTTGCACTATGAAGTGAGCATCTTGCCTTATTCCAGAGCTTAGAGAGAAAGTTTTCAGCTTTTCCTCATTCAGCATAATGTAGGCTGTTGGCTTATTATACATGGCTTTATTATGTTGAGGTATGTTCCTTCTATACCTAGTTTTTCAGTCTTTTTTTTTTTTTAAATCATGAGAGGATGGTAAATTTTACCAAATGCCTTTTCTGTATCTCTCTAGATAAATGGCACTGGAAAAACTGGGTACTCACATACAGTAGACCCTTATCTCTCACCAGTTATAAAAATCAACACAATGGATTAAAGATTTTAATGTAAGATCTGAAACTATATGTATCTACTAGAAGAAAAAGGGGGATTGGAATGGGCAAGGATTTTTTGAAGACGACCCAAAAAGCACAGACAAAACACACATTACATAAAACACTTCTGCACAACAAAGAAAACAAGAGTGAAGAGACAATCTATAGAATGGAAGAAAATCCTTGCAAACTATTGTGTCTGATGTGGGATTGACATCCAGACTATATAAGGAACTCAAAAAACTCATAAGCAAAAAATAAAATAACCAACAGACAATAGTCCTAAACAGACATTTCTCAAAAGAAAACATACAAATGACCAAGAGATGTGTCAAAAATGCTCACATAATTAATCATCAAGTAAATGCAAATCAAAACCAAAATGAGGTTGTCACCTCACTCCACTAATAAGGGATATGATGGAAAAGAAAAGAAACAAGTTCTGGAACGCACACATACTGCTGGTGGGAATGTAAACTGTACAGCCATTGTGGAAAACAATGTGGAGGGGCCTCAGAAAATTAAAAACAGATGCCCTTATGATCCAGCAATCCCACACCCAGGCATATCTCCAAAAGAAATAAAATTAGGACCTTGAAAAGATATATCTGCACTCCCATGTTCACTGGAGCACTATTCACAACAGCCAAAAAATGGAAACAAGTGTCCATTAACTGACGATGGATGAAGAAATGTGACTCATATACACAATGAAAGGCTATTCAATCATAAAAAAGAAACTGATGGGTGAACCTTGACGACATGACGCTAAGGGAACTCAGCCAGCACAGAAAGACACAGGATCCCACTCACGAAAAATCTAACACAGCTGGTCTCAGAGGAGGGGAAAGTACAGCAGTGGCCACCCGAGGGCAGGGTGGGGTTGGGGAATGCAGACAGGCTCACCTAAGTGCTGGGTCATAGTTACAGGGAGTAAGAAGTTCTGGCAAGCTACTGCACTGAAGGTGACTACAGATCATGATAATGAACTATATATTTCAAAAAAGTATAAGAAGAAATTTATGGATGTTTTCACCATAAAGAAATATTTGAAGAGATACACTTAAAACTGATTTACACATCGCACAAGCCAGGAGTGGTGGCAAATGCATGCTGTAGCCCAGTGGCTCAGGAGGCTGAGAATTTTGAGTTCAAAGACAGTCTCGGCAACGTAATGAGACCCTAAGCAACTCAACAAGACTGTCTCTAATACAAAAAAAAAAAAAAAAAAATGCTGAGGACTGGGCTTAGTGGTTGAGTGCCCCTCGGTTCCATATCCTGGAACAACAACAACAACAAAAAACAGTACAATGTGTACATTTGTCAAATATGTATCTTTTAAAACTTTTATGTATTAATTTAAATTAAAAAAAAAAAAAAGAAAGAGACCACAATAACCAAACCACTTCCAAAGAAATCAGCTTAATTTCAGGTGGCTACCTTGAAAGGAAACTGTAAGAACAAAGGTTAACTGGAAATAAGTGGCTTCCCTACATTACTAGTTTTAGAATTAGAATTCCAAGTAGTCATCTTTGTTCAACACTATAAAAACAGATTTTTCATGTCACAAAATAAGAATTCCTAAAACATTTTGAGTCCTGAAAGGGAAACAATGATCTTTGTGGCAGAAGCTTCATACAAATGGACAATGAAGAACTCGGAACCACAATTGAAGAACAGCTGGAGTGCACATGTTCACGTGCCTGCTTCACTAGGTCACTCCCACTGACAGGAAGCCGAGGGCACCAAGCTCAGGAGGCCGTGGCCCTTTCCTTGGCCACCCTGAGCCTCTGTGCTTGCTGGCTCTGGGCAGACCCCCATCACTGCATCCCTTTGCGTGGCACCCTCAAGTGGCCCTGTGTTCTCCGGCCCCAGCTTTCCATGCTGCTCCCACCTAACAAAACCTAATTAGCCATCTGTCAAATCCAGTGGAACATCAGTTCCCACTTTTGAATTTTCATAAGCTCACAAATAACAGGCATTTAACAGCACTTCTCACTTTCTACCTTGAATTTTCAAACATTATGTGCATGACTTTTCTCCATGACCCTGTAGAGAAATCAAGGAAGGAGTTTCTATCTTATTTATGGCTATAACAAAAACAGCAGGATTAGCGACCCTTTATTGAATGCCTATTCGGCCAAAACTGAACTGTAAGCTTCACATACTTATTTCTAATGTTCATAATGATCACCCCCTTGCAAAATAAATGAGAAAGCTAAGGCCCAAAATTTAAATAACTTGTCCAAGTTTGCAAGTCAAAAAGCTTGGACTCAAAAGCAGACCCACGTACCAAACATGGCCACTCCACAGAGATACCTTGGTTCTCATAGCCACTAACAGCATACTTTCTACACCACCTACTGGCTCATGCAGAGCTGGGTTTGGTCACCTCAGCAAAAAACTCTACAGCAGGGCTGGGGTTGTGGCTCAGCAGTAGAGCACTTGCCTAGCAAGTGGCCCTGGGTTTGATCCTCAGCACCACATAAAAATAAATAAATAAAATAAAGGTATTGTGTACAACTACAATTAAAAAAAAACCATTAAAAAAATTCCTTGTATTCTTCAAATGCATAGTATTAATTCTCTGCACACAACTTTCTAAAAAACACTAGCTGATGAAGTACAGCTGTCACAAATCCACTCCACATGCAAGGCTGCTGTAAAACAGCACAATCACCTCAAGTTCAGCTGCAGGGGAAAATTCCCAGGGCACAGAAACTCAGAGAGGGTGACCAACAATGAACAAAGCCAAGAAAGCCAAGCCTGGCAGCTGCCCCCCCAAGGCCGCTCACAGCCTCCAGTGGCCGACTGGAGACCACATCGACTCTCCCCTCGCCAATTCACAAATCAAGGCTCAGCCATCACTTACTCCAAAGTCTTCCACTTCACGCTCCTACCCCTATTTTCACACGTGTGAGTCCATGGCTGATCTCTACAACATTAACTCCATCAAGAAAACTGACGGGGAGCGATCCTCTGTAGTTTCTTTGGTATTCTTTTGGTATTTCTTTGGTATTACTTGCAGGCCTCTCACAGGTGGCCCAGGATGAAGGGGAAAAGGCAGACAATTGAAGTCTACAGTGTATCCAGAATTAGAGAAGGCACCCTACTTTACAAATTATCACACAACCTTCACAACAATTCCATAAGTAGTATCTGTGCTTCCACCTCATAAATAAAGACACCAGGACAGAAGGTGGAAGCCCACCTAAGAAAGTGAGAATGCAAACACAGACCCAGCCGACTTGGACCATGGCGTTTCATGGTCAAATGAGGGCTTTCCTGCAGGCCTTTTCCCCATGTGATAATCGCAGACCTGTGCAAAGCCACCTCATTCTGGAAGAGCAGCCACCTCATAGCAAGGCAGACCCACACCAGCCACGGAGAGATGTGATCCTGAGAAGTGGGGTCACAGCGAAGCATCCAGATGCTCTCTTCTCTAATGCATGAGAAGCTCAAGTGTGGACCTCAAGTAGGACTTCCGACTATAAATGCTGACTGGACGTGCTGTGTGCCCTTGTACTCACTGCTGATGATTCCAGCATGGCCCTGCTTCACCCACCTGCTCCGGAGTCTCCACTGGCCCCAAGACGACCACAGGCTCCACCCTACCTCTGCCTACACACCAAGTAGGCCACTCTGACTCCAGCTGATCCACCCTGGCATTTGACCCACTGCAAGCCCAGCACCCAGAACAACTCAAGACATGTTGGAGGCACACGGGCCCCCATACAAACAGCAAGTGAAAGCAACTCTACGTATTCATTACAGACGTTCGTAAGAGATTTGGAACAGGTAACTCTGTCATGAACTTCTCACAGCTTTCAACTCTATCTCTATGGATCAGCAGAAATTCTGAAGCTTTACAGTAAATCAACAAATAGGCAAAAACAGCATTCCCCAGGAATATGTGACACCATACTTTATCACTGGTATTGATGTCGTCTCCTCCCACAGACAGGTCTTCTTCAATTTCTTCACCAATACTTAGTTCGCTTTTTTCTGAGCGACGGCTGGCACTAATTCCAAGAGGAGAAAAGAAAGAAAAGTAAGAACTCTGAAAAGAAGAGCTAACATTCTTCAAATGTGCACACACATTAATCTTAATCCTCTGAGTAAACTATAACATTCAATATCAGTTTCACACATATCACCTCACTAATAATCTCAGTAACCACCTCAACAGTTTGGAGGAGAAAACCAAGGTTCAATGGTGACTTTCTGAACACAATGGCAAGAAAACAAACCCAGATTTCTAAGATTTCATCTACTACATCACACTCTCTCAAAACAACTATACGCTAATTTTATATGCTAAAAATGAATACATATTTCCAAATGCAATAAAAAATGTCAAGGTAAAACTCTTTGTCATCTAATTTAAAATTTCCAGTCAGCCCAACAACAAATATTACTTCCAAACTATTAGGCAATGTCTGGACTATTTTTATGTTTTTAAGGTTATCTGACATAAAATATTAAGAAATAGCATCAGAATTAGAAAAATAATTGGAAAGGGCCATTTTTAAAAAAAAACTTAATACAGGCCACTCTCACCATCAAGAGGAAAGAAAGCGATAGAGTGCACTCATGGCAGGCACTACCTGCACCCACGTGACTCGCCTCAACTGCTCCACGTCAGCTCTTTATCTCATTCTTACCAGCATCAACATGATGCAGATGTCCGTGTATTAATAATGTAAGATGAAGAGCATGCTCCAAAACTACAACTTTGGATTAACCATCTTTTATTCACCTTCAATTAATATGAACAAGAGAATCAAATATACTAAAATCCTAATATCACCTTGTCACATTTGTCTATATTCAGAAGTTACAAATTTTTGTCCATTTTTCTTACCTATTAAAATCATCAAGATAGTCGTCATCTTCTCCAGTCCCTGATAAGTTTAAGAAAAGATATGTTACATTTACATAAACACCGCATAATTTATCTACAACTAAACATGTTTCCTGCCAAAACAATATACATGACTGAACTATAATGCATCATTAAGAGAGAAGACTTAAGATCAGAAACAACACCTTTTCCATCACTATGAAGACAATGACAAGAGCTGTCCCAAGTGGTCACCCCGTCTCCTAGGGGGTGAGCTGCACCTTGCCTTTACTCTAGCCCTCAGAGGGTATGCTCTTGATGCTGCCCTTTGACTGGATGGAGCTTGGCAGCAGCAAGCTCACTGCTGTCAGCCCCTCTGGTTACCTGCTGTGAACCACTGAAACTTCTAAGCCAACTGCTGTTGTTAAGACTCAAGTATGACCCCCATGGTGTGAAGAGGCAGGATCACATCAGTGGACCAGCTCCAGCCCAACAGCGCTGAGCTCCAACAGCCCCAGAACCCAGGGGGCCTTGGTGATCTTCTGTGGCTGTGCCCAAGAACAATCAAACCCACACCAATCACAGGGTTAACATATATTTTCATGCACATAAAGTGCTTGACACAGATCTTGGTCCACATTAAGGTCTGAACAAAGGAGAACCTCAGGAGAGAGAGATGCTGATGAAGCAGTGCTACAGTTTTCTCCAGGTGTACCTGAGGCTGACAGAGTGAGCACCTTCAAGAAGACCTAGGGCTATGTTTTTTTAAATAAAGATTTTAAAAAAAGATTACATATTAAAGATTTTTTTTGTTGTCATTGTTGTTGATGGACCTATGTATTTTCTATTTATTTATTTATATGTGGTGCTGAGGATGGAACCCAGTGCCTCACACTTGCTAGGCAAGTTCTCTGCCACTGAACTACAACCCTGGCCCAACCCAGGGCAATTGAGGACCAATTTACAAATTAGCTTTCCTTCCCTTCCACACCTTCTGAGGGTTAGTTGAGGAAAGAGGGTTGGAGGTGCACGAGAGCTGCTTAAACTGTGAGCAGAAGATGAACAAGAGTGATGTAGGACCTACAAGGGGAAGATGCAGATCAAGAAGCTCTGGCTCAAGGGCAAGCTGTTCAAAGAAGCTGCTGGCACTGTCCTAGGTCCTCAGATCCGTCTATGTCTCCTGAACTGTTGAGGGAACCCAAGTTCTGATGGCAGTTAGACAAAGTAATGCTCCTTACAGTACACAAGTACTATAGTCCATTTATCAAATATGAATGACCTAGGTCCCCTCTTTCTTCTAAGAAGAAAGAGGCAATGAACAGGGGTACAAACCCAAGGCTGCTTAGAGTGAGTGGAAAGAACTGAGACAGCAATGGAGTTAAAACCTAAGGAAAGCCACAGAGATGCAAATTCTGGAGGACAGTGTGTTCCAGGAAGAGAAAACACATGCAAAGTCCTGGAGACAGAGGAGTGGTTGTTTAAATAACCAGGAGGAAGCTCCATTAACCACAGGATAGTCTATGGGGGTAGACAGAGCCAGCAGGCATCAGAACATTCATGCCCTGGAGGGCCAAGGTCAGATTTAGGCTTAAATGCCAAAGGAAGCTAATGAGAGGGTGAAGGAGTCAAAGAGACCAGGGCAGCAATATCTGATGTGCTTTCCCATGCACACACTGATGGCTAATAAAGGAAATCAGAAGCTACTGTGGACAGCAAGGCCTGAGATAACTGGGGTAAGGTCTCCAGTTGAACCAGTGACCTACAGATAAGACAAGTGGGTGTGAGGAGGTGGGGAGGAGACTATAAGGAAATGAAGAAAGCAAGAGTCATTGCTAGTGGAACACCCAAACTATCAGGCAATGAGGGGGGGTCCCTGGCCATATGCAATAGGTGGGGACAAGTTTCCAGGCTGCTTTCCTCTCTAGAATACAAAGCCTGTCTCCACTGGCAGCCTCAAAGGTTAAGGGGCTACAAGTGCTTGACAGAAAGCAGGCACTGTCAAGCAGGGCACAGGAAGGGGAGAAGGGAAGACATCTTTTTCAACAAACCACACAGGTGACAGGTTTACAAGGCCAAGAAACAAACAGCATTAGCAGCTAATAAAGCCTGAGAGCCTCCAAGGACTGATCACTGTCCCTTACTGTGAATATCAACACAGAACAGAAGAGGAAACCGAGGCAGGTTAGTGTCAGAGCCACGATGACAGCTGCCTTCCCACATGTAGCTAATGCAAAACATACCACAATTACTGAGCAACGTGAAACACACTGGGTTCTGACTTCCTGGTGAAACACTTACTACACAGCACAACTGGAATCTGGAATAGCAAGTCAAGTCAAAATGCACGTCATGAACACAACAGATTTACATTTCTTTAAACTGGGTGTTAGCAAAATTCTGACCACAGGCCAATGATTCTTGTCTGTGTTTCCTGATAGTCTCTCCTCCCTACCCCATGCCACCCACCTGCCTCCACCCAAGACCTGATCCTGGTCATCTCTGGCCTGGACTTCTTTCTTTCACTCCACCTCCAGACAGTAACCTGGTTTTGCTCAGTCTATGAGCTCAGATTGGCTTTTACATTTTTAAGGAATATAAATATTCATACATATGTAACATAGGCTACATGTGGCCAACAAAGCCTAAAATATCTACTAGCTGGCCCTTTACATAGTTTAGTGACTCCTTGCCAGGGTCCAGCCCTGGCGAGGGTCCAGGGATCCTGAAGGAGGAGTGGTGTCAGCAGAAGAAGAGGAGATGGGACGACTGGTTGCAAGTTATAAGCAGCCTTCAGAAAAAATCTGCTGCCCCTAGAGGGACCCTTATTTTTAAATCTTTTTTACAGGTGTTTTTCCAGGTAGTTAATGGATAGCTTCACAGCCTGAAACTTCTTTGATTTTCATAATTTTCAAGAGTTACTATCTTTTCTGACATACATTGATTACCTAAGCTATTGAGTACATTGTTTAAAATATTTTCCTGTAACTTTAGCCAATCATGATTAAGCTTTTGCGTGTTCACATCACTAGGTGCTAGGTGACACAACTAGACTACATGTCTCCAGACCTATTATTCACTTTTATACCAATAATTATTTCATTAACCTTTAACTTTAAAGCATACTTATGATTATTGGTAAGCTTTCTTACTTCTAAACTAAAATCCCAGTAAAAAACACTAAAATAGTGAAAGTCTGTTACTTAAAAAGCCTACTACTCTGAAGTACCTCTAAAATATGTCTATGTTAATTTTATATTATTTTATTTTTAATTTCCAAAGAAATTTCCTTTTTTAATATGACCTATTTAACTGCTTTCTTACAGAGTTTCCTTGGTCAAAGCACACCAAGTCTTACATCTTTGTAATCTTTAACTGAAGGGCAGGCTCTACACCTCAACTCATTTGCCATTAATATTAACTATGTGTTTCCCATTTTCATCATAAATTCCTGAGTAAGGCAAAGGAGGGTGTGTTGGTGGGGGGAATGTATTTTTATTAGCCTCTTGCCCTCAAGAGAGGGATACCATAATCCTCCTTTAGTTAAGTAAGCTATATACGGTGGTCCTTGAACTGTGGGCACAGCAATTGTTTTTCTGTAGCTAGGTGTTGTACAGGTTGTGGCTTTAGGACGGGGGAGTGAGTGTGTGTGTGTGTGTGTGTGTGTGTGTGTGTGTAAATGGTTAACGGTAGGATAAACATTTCTTGTTGCTTAGGCTTGAGGAATAACACTATTGTTTGTATCTTGATATTGAAATACACCTTGGGGCATGTCTTAATTGTATCCTTAGTCTCATTCTGGGCATTTTCCTGCAATCTCAGGCAATACGTACTTTTATTACTGATTGATGTACGCCCTATTATCCATATCATGAGTATCATAAACAAGGCATGTAACATTCCCGAAGGTTCCGGTTTCCAGATGGTGCGGCCCTGCTGCAGCATCCCCTACACTGTGACCCGTCAGACAGCGGGTGCAGGAATGCCTTTATACCGACTCCTCCTCCAAACATGCTAATTGTCTCTTATTTCCATTTGCATACCTTAGATTAATATTTACCAAAACAAAACAGGTTGTGTTCTAAAACTTTATTTACAATTGTTTTTATGAAACTCAGAATTTATTTTCCCACTGAAATAAGCTTTAAATAATGTCTAGGGAGTAAAGCACAATCACTAAGGGCTCTTAGGCAATGTATCATATTCTAAAAGCCACATGGTCCTGGGCATTACTCAGCCTAGGCTCTTCATCTGTAAACCTGGAGATATAAACGTACCTCTAAGGAAACACTTATAAAGGGACTTCTTGGTACAGTGCTGGGCACACATCACTACCATCATTACCATCCTAGACTACTCCACCAGAATATGAAATTTATATTTACAATGAAAAAAAGCTCAAACAGAAAATATTGTTGCAATATAATTAAACAAAGCTAAATAAAATTCTGTTTCTATTGAATCCTTATGTCTTGCTTAGTGACAAACATCTGGCTAGTGAACTGGTATGTCACACTAGTAGGAACTATCTAAATTCCAACCAAGGTGTGTCAAAGTCCCAAGAGAAGACAAAGTGAGGCAGAACACCTACCACCTTCCTACTCTACCAGCAACTCTGCAGTCAAAGTGGCCTCCTTCTTCCCCAACTGAGGAGAAGAGCTCTATGCAGTTCCTCCTCAAACGCAGAGAGCAAAACCCTCACTTTGATAATAGAGCAGTCAGAAAAGCTAAAAGGTTTGGCAACAAAGGGAAACATCACAAGAGTGAAACAAAAAAGTACCAGAACTCAAAAGAGAGCAGCCGACAGGTGCCATGGTCAGGGGGTCTCCAGGTGGGGCAGATCACCAAGGTAGCAGAAGGAATGCCTACTGCGTCCCCACAGCACCAGACGGCAGGAACCAGGGAAGGGAAGGGAATAGGCCCACCTAGCTGGCCAGCCAGCAACCAGGACGCACAAAGAAAGGAAGGCAGCACAGCCAGCAACTCAGCCGTTACCAGGAGGACTCCAGGGCACTGTGTGGAACAAGAATCCAGGCAGCTCAGGGAACATCTATTCTTCTGCAAATGGCTGCAAATGGGGGAACAAAGTAACATAAAAAGGAAACTAACGTTTGTCAGGCATATACCATGCCGGACACTGCACTTTTATTTATGTACATATGCATATTTAAATCCTATTTACTCTTTAAAATGAGGTAGATATTATTAGTTCCACTTAACAGATGAAATAGCAGCTCAGTTTACCCCCATCCCAATCAGTGCCACCTCAGGATTTTCAGGTACTAACCCAGCTCTCTGCCCTACTCAGGACATTTCTCTAGGAGTGCGGTTGTTCACTGAGCTGCCCCCTCAGACCTGCCTGCAGTTGGAAAGGCAAGCAGCCTGCCTGGGAAGCTATGCTCCATCACTCCCAGGTGTGAGTCATCACGGACCAGGGACCTAACCACACCTCACATTCAGAGAGGACAGGAGATGGCCACGGAGAGCCCAATTGTGACCTTCCTTCAAGTCAGGGACACAGCAAGGTTCACCCAGGCCTGCCTGTCAGACCTGCCTGTGGTTTGCACAGTACAGAGAACTGCATTTTCAGCGCGTGACCCAGGGTTCAGTAATGGCACACAGGGCCTCGTATTTCCACAGGAACATTTCCTTCATAGCAGGATCGCCAACATCTGCTCCACATAACAGAACACATCTCATAATTTTCCCTTCACAAGTCTGTTCCTTCCATTAGACTGAAGTCCCTGCAAGCTGGACCCCTGTATTTCCAATATCCAGAGAAGAGCTCTGCCTCTGACCAACTCTGCCCAGTCTCAACTGACACCTCTTTCCTTCTCCCTGGTAATCTGCTAATTGACCATGAGATCTCAGCAGTCTTTCTGAGAGCCCTTCTTGGCATGCCCAGGCCAGGTGAAGCTGACTGCAATGGCTTCCATGCCCACAAGGCGGCCCTCTAACACATGAAACATCTGCAGGTTCCTGCTACATCCTTCTCCCTTACTAGAGTCCAAGCACCACAAGACAGACATCTGTCCTGGTTGCTGCCACAGCCATCCTTGGCACAGGGTATAACCTGGACAGGTTATGTGGATGAACTGCTGAATGAACAGAACAAAGAGAGACTCACGGAGTCACTTCATGTAAGAATTTACCCTAAAAATATCATCACTTTAAAGCATCAAAACTAAAACTGGAAATCCAGTTACCTAATCCAAGTGATCCAATTTTATCGTTGACCAATTTTAGATCTTTCAAAACTGTGCTTCCCTTTTTACCTGTGAACAGGAATAAATATTAGCATTAAAGAATATTTATTAAAGAAATAAATATTAACATTCTCTAAGCCATGTCAAAATTTCTTTTTTAATATTAGACTTCTATAGAACAGGAACATAACCCAGAACTAAGAAAAAAATTACATGCCATCATTAAGAAATGCTTAAATTATTTACTGTAACATTTTTATAAGCCCAAAACAATATTTATTCACAAATAATTAATACTCTTCATTGGAACACAACCATCTCACTATTCAACTATTGCATAAGCAGTCCCACCAATGCATGAACTATAGTTAATTACTTTCACCAATTTTATTTTTCCTTTGAACCTCTGTATTTTTATTTTATTTTATTTTATGTACTACTTTATTTGTCAAGCAGATCTGCTCACTGGTAGTATTTCCTCAGCCTTAGTTCTCAGCATCCTAAGTCACCATTCTCTAGTCTGTCAGTGACATGACCACAGTATCCTGAATTCCTTGAGGGTGGCAATAACCAGGGAGAGAAGGGACACCACAGGCCATCTGACTGGACACACGGCTAGCTTCCCAAATGTCTGTCTTGTGTGGGTTCTAGCAATTCTCAGTTGTGCCATGTAACACAAAAGGATTAGGAAGCATGGCAAAACTAGACAAAACCCACAGTGCAAATTCCTAGTGTAGCTACTCGGGAGACTTTCTCAAGAGGTACTCGGTATGCTCTAAACACACTGGCGATATCCTATATGTACTGTGGTCTGGTATACCAAGTCCACTGTATCCCTAACGTGTGAGGGGAGGGCTAGGAGGGCAAGAGGTGTCACAGCTTGACTATGCTCTTGACAAGGAACTTTACCCCTACACTACACATGAATAGCCAAGTTCATGTAAACAGAATGCTTTACTTAATGTTCCAATGATGATTACGATGGTCCCACAGAACGAAAGTTTCAAAATTACCTGACTTTAAATTCAACTCATTTTAAAAGTCCAAAAAGAGAATTATTTAAAAATTGCAAATGTACTTTGATTTACAATGGATTACATCCAATAAACCCAGCACAAGTTTAAAAATGTTGTAAATCAGAAATACATTTAATAGGCCTCACCTGCTCAAAATCCGGCTTAGCAGAGTGTTTCCCTAGCGACCCTGTGGCTGCCTGGGAGCTGCAGTCCACTGCCACTACCCAGCACCACAGAAGAGGATCATGCATATTGCTAGCCATGGAAAAGATCCATGTTCAAAACCGAAAGTATTGTTCCTATCAAGTGCACACTGCTTTCACATAAAGTTGAAAAATCATCAACTCAAACCATCATACGTTGGAGGCAGTCTGTGTGCATATACATACACTATATACACATAAACATTTTATATATATAATGTGCAGATACACATTATATATAAAAAAGTGACATTTCAGCTAAAAAGCCATCTTCCTAAAAGTATTCTGATGGCAGAGAAAAAGCAAAGTATGAATGAGACAGAATGTGATTACATCAAAAAAGAAATGAAAAAATATCAACAGGAAATGGTGAAGTGATAAAATTATGGGCTATATTTATGATCCTAAAAAAATTAACAATCATATACTACCTAATGAGAGAAAGAAACACCCAGCGTAGGCAAGCCCCCATCCTTAGGCACTTACTCTCAGAGTCTTTCAACGAGGGGGCTCCTGCCAGGGAACTGAGTCCGCTCCTTAAGGGGGGCGCATCTGAGAGTGAAGCCAGGCTTCCCGCTGGCTTCCTAGGTTCACTTCTCCTAACAGGAAGCAAGTGACAGTGAAACAGTAATCTTAGGTCCTGACACTAACACTTTTATTTTGCCCCTAGAATAAAAGCAATTTGTAAAAATTGGATATGCACACAGTGGTTGGAAATAAAGCACACACGCTTTATAACTTCAAAATCATAAAGTAGCAGGGCACAGTGGCACACCCCTGTAAATCCCAGCAGCTCGGGAGGCTGAAGCAGGAGGATCGCGAGTTCCAAAGCCAGCCTCAGCAAAAGCGAGGCACTAATCAACTCAGTGAGAACCCTGTCTCTAATAAAATACAAAATAGGGCTGGGGATGTGGCTCTGTGGTCTAGTGCCCCTGAGTTCAATCCCCTGTACCAAAAAAAAAAAAAAGAAAAGAAAAGAAATAAAATAAAATAAATTACACCTACAAGGCAATACAGACTACAGATCTATCACAAATCCACACAGCAAGCTTGTCAGTAAATAGTCAGCCCAGGACTGGGTTGTGGCTCCGTGGTAGAGCACTTGTCTAGCACACGAGAGGCACTGAGTTCGATCCTCAGCACCACATAAAAATAAATAAAATTAAGATATTATGTCCATCTACAACTAAAATAATATTTAAAAAGAAAAAGCCAGCACAACTCTCTTCAGAACTGTTTAATATCTTACAATCGACACTGACTTGTTTGGCACCTTCACTGTCTGTGTCATGTGTTTCAGAAGCCCTTGTCCATCAGCCATAAACGCACCAAGGGACAGTATAGGAGTAAACTAGTAAGTACTACTACTCAGATGTACGTATTGCTGGAAAGCCGCACACCCCTTCCAAATCACAAGCACCCATCTGGGGGATGCCCAACACGCTGCACACACCCACACACTCCATGGTCTGATCTTCTTACATCCCTGTCTGATTTCACACCTTCTCCCTCCGTCTCCATCCTTACTCAACTCAGACGAGAATGTACACGGCACCACATCCACCTCTGTACCAAAGAGCAGACCCGCGCTCTGCTCTTCTGGCAAAGACTGTTGCCCTGGGGCAGGATTCCACCACTGGACAGCGTTCCAGGAATCCTCCCCTCATCCTCCTCCATTTTAAATCCAGACCCTTCTCAGAGGCACCCACATGGGCTGTTACTTCTCAGAATATAACCTGCCCTCTAGCCACCACCTCAATCCTCGGCACCCTTTACAACTCATCATGTTGACCTTTTACAATCGTTTCCTCTTGAGCCCATGCTAATCCTTTAACCTGCCGCCACGCCACTCCAATAAAATCACCCATCAAGGTCATGGCTGACCTCTATGTGGCTAACTCCAGTAGCTGACTTTAGCAGTGTTCATGGGAATGCTCCCTACTGCTTCCTCCTGCAAAGACACCCTGTCTTTCTCTTTCCACCATCTGCATATTTCTTGATCACCTGGGTAACCTTGTCATTCTGCTGGTCTCCAACCTCTCAGTTCAACATTACCTACAAACTGAATGGCTCCCTCATTCACATCTCCAGCCTGGGCCAAGCCCGTAACACAGACGCACAGGCCCAGCAGTGAATGCACGTCCAGCAGCCAGCTTCAAGGCCTCGTGGCAGCTCTAGCTCCTACGCCACCGCCATGCCACGCACAGTGCCCTTCCCACTCTTCACCTGGGGAGATGGCTTTCAACTTCATAGTGATCCAAGCCAAGAGCCCTGGCACCACTGTGGATACTAACTTGGCCTCTGGCATTTAGCAGCAAGTCGTTTGGAATCTAACTTCAAAGTACTTCCCCAAACAGCCATTTGTCATCCCTTTCACCATAACCCACAGTAAAGAACCACACAGCCCCTACCTGGGCATCCTGTGTCCACCCAGGTCAGTAGCCAGACACCTTCTAGTCTCAGAGGAAAGACACTCAATGGTTAGTCCAGACCCACTTCTGTGGGTCCATCTCATACAAAGTCCACGCTCTTTCCCTTTCTGTCCACATCTCTGCGTATGCCATCTCCTCTCCTCAGAGTTCTGCAAGCCCAGATTCTGCCTGGCGGACTCCCTTGCCTCTTCTGGCTCTTTGCTCAGCTGGCGCCCTCTAAGGGAGGTGCCCACGTGAGGCCTTCTCTGATGTGATGCTGAAATCCAGATGATCTCCAGCCCCTTCACCTCTCTCTCTCTCTCTCTCACACACACACACACACACAGGCACAATTTCCCCATCATCTGGCAGACATTGATGTAATTCTTCCTGATTTTCTAACTCCAGCCAGAAGATGAGCTTCCTGAGGGCAGTTTTGCTTTTTCTAGCATAGCTACGCCTGACCTGGAACATGGCAGGCACTTAATACATAGTTAGCTATGAAATAAGTCATACCTGGTTTCTTTATAAATCAGGGATTATTTTACAAAATAACAAGTTTAATGATATAAGATCATATTTATGGATTTGATAACTATAGAACCCTTAAATTATTAGTTTTTACATTTGATCTTAGTCAAAGGGCTGAAAAGTGGTAGTTTTAAAAAAAAAAATACAGTATGTAAGCACTGATAAATTACATCTTTAAAACTGTAGTCTGAGAACAGTAGAATCCAAAAACATTCTACTCACCAACCATAAGTTTTATCTGGTTTAGGAATGGGATCATCAAAGAAAGAGTCTCCTTCCAAATCATCTTCATCTGGACAAAGACCAGCTGTGTCTTTGACCTCTGAAGTGGCATTGCTTAAGAAAGATCCAATTTTGCTGTCATGGGCCACTGAGTGCAGACTGCTTTTGCTCTTTGCCTCTGACAAGGAGATGCTTGTGTCATTCTGGTTGGCCTCATTGCTGGCCTTCTAGAAAGAGGGAGAGAGAAAACACTTCTTTGGTGAGAAGACCTTAAATATTTTAAATAAAGAAGTCAGATGAACATAAGCAAATCTGCGGGAGGGGGAGGCTTGCAGTAGCATGAACTGCAGTGTGATGCCATGAATTATCCGTTACTCCCCAGGCTTCCTACTATGGCCAACTACTGACAGGTAAAAATGCTAAAGAAATACGTGTATACCATTCCTTTCTCCTTCCGTAAATGCAAATATCTTTACTATGCCTATCCTACTTGTAAACGTATTTCTCATTTATTAACATATCCATTTCCTCTCACATGTCCTAAAAAAAACTCTTAATACAGTTTCAACTTGCAGATGATAGAAAGAGAAAAGGAAGATTATGTCACAGAAGTGAACCACACATTAAAGTATTATCAGAAACAAAACAGCAGTTTTCCATCCAGTGCCAAGCACCAAAGACGCTGAGGTGAGAACGCTGTCTTCACTCACTCCTGCTTCCACGGGGAACAGACTATCCACGACAACTGCCTTAGCGCAGCATTCCAGAGTCACTCACTAGTCTGTACCTTCCAGGAGGCCCAAGGATGGGGACATTCATCTTGCTGCCTATCTTAAACCAAGGTGAGAAGTTCTAAGGTATTTTTACCACGCCCTACTTGCACACAGCAAGGTCAGCACAAAGAACCACATGGCTTTCTTCTTCACAGTTATTTCACAGTCTAATTTTATTCTTTCCATGATCACATTTGTGTTTAGACATGTCCATATTAACAACAACGACAAAACAATGCCAGCAATAATAACAGCAGCTAACAATTATGGAAAGCACTCAGACGTTTCACATGTGACGCCTCATTTAATCTTCGAAGCTATGGTGTGGGTCGACTGTCTACTACCTCTGCGACTGTCTACTACCTCTGTGGATATAAGAAAGGAAACACAGATATTTATGAAACTTGTCAAGGTCCCCCAGGTAGGTGAGAGGTGAAGTCACATCAGAGTCAAAGTCTCATTCCAGAAGTTAGCTCTTAATACTTACCTTAACCTATTAGATTGAATTTGTGAGGATGTGTTTAATGTGTTTAAAATGGCAATTTCCAAATATACAAGATCCCTGTGATACTCTAAAAAAAGCATTCACCCAAACAAAGAATCTGGAATGCTGCCTACACTGAACTACTAACTGTACAATCTCAGTATTTTCTAGGCCTGTGTTTCCTCAAGAATTAAAACTTGGTTAGCATTTTTAAAATAAAGTATAAATGGGAATTGAGACAGAAGGGATGGATAACATGGCAAGCGACAAGCACAGCCAGTGCCAAGGCAGGGAGTGAGTGTGGGTCAGACACTATGCACGAGGTGCTCTAGAGGGACACTGAGCCTCCTCTACCCAGGCAGCATGCGTCATGCCTGCCTAAAGATGGGTCCACATATATATACTGGTTAGAGGCCCTAATTAGTTGATGGGGGAAAGATATATGCTATGTAAATTTTAGGGCCTTGTAAAGGAGCTATATATTCCATTTAATAAGGATAAATTAATTACTAAAAGATAAATATCAAGTTGCCATCCTTTTAGACAATGTAGGATATTTTCAAAGAGGCAGAAACTTTAAAAAATATTCTAGCAACTTTTTGAAGTTTTCCTGGTATTACCAAATATAAACAGGTTATCATGGCACTTGTATATTTAATTAGATTCATGACAGTTGTATCTCTCATTTATAAATGTTATAATAACTGACTTATATCTTTGCAAATGCATTAGAAATAAATACCCTGAGACTTTGTGATATTTACAATTAGAGACAGAGTGATTTTCTCCTTCAAGACACTCCTGAGAAAGTTCAAAGGATAACTGGCATGATGTAAATTGAAATGCAAATACAAAGCAACAGCATAAGAAATACCAACTATTCCAATGAGGTCTCTCTTCCCTATGAATTCACTTTATCAACATAATTTAAGTCCATATAATGAACTAAGCTTAGTAACTACTATGTACCGTGATGATTATTTTTTTTACTGGTGTTAGCAATACTCCTGCTATGAACAGAAGGACCAACTTTAGGAAGACAAGTTTCATAGAGAAGGACATTAGGACACCATGCTACAAGAAATTTCTTTTTCTTTCTTTCTTTTTTGCTACTGGGGATTGATCTCAGAGGTGCTTTACCATTGAGCCATGTCCCTGGTCCAGTTTCAACAGTTCCAAATTTAATTTTTTTTTTTACTTTGAGACGGGGTCTAAGTTGCTTAAGATCTTGCTAAGTTGCTGAGGCTGGCCTTGAACTTGCAATCCTTTTGCCTCAGCCTCCTTAATTGCTGGGATTACAAGTGTACACCACTGTCTGGCTACAACACATTTTTAAAAGGAATTATTCTGTTCTAAACACATAGCTCTATTTTCTGTGAAGTAAAAACAAACTTGAAAAGCAATCTGCTCCGGAACTGCTCTCCAAATCAATTTCTAAACAACATGGGAATGGGTTGTTACTTTACAATGATGGTTGTTTTTTTTTAAACAAAAGGCCATTACTCAACTAGGTAATTAAGGAATTCACTAAACTTAATTCCAAATAATTTTTAGTATTAAAAAAATCCACACTAATAGAAGATTTGTCATCAAAACATTTCACACATATTAAAACAAAAGCACTATAAACATTTTAGAGCAGTTTCAACAGAGGAAATACAAATACATGCAGGTATCTGCTAGAATTTATTTCGGCTACCTTTGTCTTACTGGGTTTCTAAGTAGCTATGGTTAAGCATATTGTTAAAAACCAAGAAGTGTGACTTTATGCCTTAGAATTCATCCCTGGGACCCCAGATAGAATTGTGTCCCCCAAGAGATTTATTAAAGTCCTAACTCCTAGTACTTCTAGTAGTGACCTTAGCCTATGTAATTAGTTACGATGCGGCCCTGGTGGAGGAGGGTAGCGCTAATCGAGTATGGCTGGCATTCTTACAAGGTTAGAAGAGGGTTGGAGGTGTAGCTCAGAGATATGGAACATGTTTAACATGCCCAAGGCCCTGGGTTCAAATCCCCAGCACCACTAAGAAACAGATCTAGGACTACCATGTGAAGATGGAGGCAGAGCCTGGTGTGATCAATCTACAAGCCAAGGTACACCTAGGATTATCAGCCGCCCCAGAAGCCAAGAGGGAATAAGGCCTGCTGGCATCTCAATTTCAAGTTTCTGGACTTCAGACTGTGAAACAATAGATTCCCATTCTTTCAAGCCTCTCAACTCACACTTTGTTAGAGCAGCCCTAGGAAATTCATAGTTATTACAGAAACTACTTACGTTTGTCTTTTCCTATGTGAGGGACTACGACATGGCATTAAATTTACTACAACAGCCATTAAATTTCCTTGGATAGAGCTCAAGATGCCAAAGCTTTATGGAAAATTTAAATTGTAAGAAAATTCAAGTACATATTTTTCAAATACTTGATAATCAAGAATTCCATCATTAAGATTAATAAGAAAATCAGCAAATTTCACAGTGAAAAACATTACTATTTTCCAGTAGCCAAAAACTGAACTACCACTTGAATGGCTTAAGAACCTAGAAAAAAGATTTTTTTTTCTCTCAAAGTAATGGCTTAATCTACACTGTTCATAGTAGGAGAAACATCAAGTCAAAGAAGTTTATTAGTTTTGCAATAGTCAAAAGTTCTATGTTATTTTTAATTCTCTTCCATGCCATGCCTCCTCCCCTGCTCACCTCCCTCTCATCCCCTCCTGCCAAAGACTGGCTCTGATTCATGACTCAAAAACCAAGTGTTGAGAGGATTTCACTACCATTGTTGCAGACACATGTATTCAAAAAGTTTAGTTTGCTTACCTAGAAAAACAAAAACAGCAAACTTCTAGAAAGCCAAAACAAATACCTAACCAGTCTCCAAGAACACAGTGCCTCTAGAGAAACCCTACCCCTGCCATCTACAAGCCACCTAATTCCCACAGACACAACAGGACCACGACTCCTAAGTGTCACAGCCTGGAGGACAGCCCTGGGCAGCTGTCCTGCCCCACCCACAGATTTTACGGGTTCAGCTGACAAGCAGTGTCACCAGGTCAAGTCCAAGAAGCTCAAGAGACTGGGATCACAGAGCGGGGCAAGCAGGACTGGAAGGACACTATGCCAGGACCCTTCCCCCATCCACCTATCCAGGAGGGTATGGGGCGTGGGTGAGTTAAGGGGGTCCCAATACCTGGCTTACCCAGAAAACCCTTAGGTGACTGCCAAAGCCCAAAACACACCATAATGAGACCGTGATCACTGCCCTAAGTCCACATAGAACTGAACTTATTCTAGAATTTGGAAAACAATAAGAAATGTCACTTTTAAGAATTTAAAGCAAAAATACCTCAAAACACATTAGTTCTAAAACACCTGAGAACCATAAAATGGATGATCTTTCATACTACATTTCATGATAAAAGCACCTGGTCCCAAATATTAATAACAGAAAACATCTAATATCTCACTCAGTTTTCCAACAGTAAAACCAAAGTCAGTAGAACCTACCAAATCTTTCATAATTTTTTACATTTTTTTCCCAAACAACTAGGACAATATCTGGTAAAACAAAATGGTATACAGTGAAATAAATCATTACAGGTGATACTCTGGAAGTGTTCATATTTCCAAATTTTTAACTCAGTAAAGAAAAGCGTTCCCAATTAATAATTATCCTCCTCATATTCCAAATCTTCTATTCAACCTTTGTCTCTGAATAACAAAATAAGACCTTTTAGATCAACCCCAATTAAATTTGTGTACACAGACACACACACACAATTTATTTCTAGTCTAAATATATCCTCTCTGAAAACAGTTGAGGTCTCTGAATGAGCCATTAACACTTGTCCCTTTCTGCATTCAAAAGAAATGAGAAGACATCCATCCACACTCCTGGCTCAGGGCTCCAGAGCTCCCTGGTGAGCAGCCCCAGGCCACCCTGCTTTATAGCTCAAGCCCCTACACTGCACACCCTACAAGGCATGCACAGTCCCCACCTGCAGGACAATCAGGTGGGGCTCCTTCCACCACACACAACCTGGTAAATGTCACTCACCTACCATGTAAATGGCTTCCCCTGGCATCTTGGCAGGTATAATCTCACCTCTACATGCAACTTAAGTCTCTGGGTTAAGCTGTTAAGGACACAGGCCCTACTGCATGCATAAGGCAAAACAGAAAGGCAGGGGGAAAAGAGCCACAGGTAATCTGTCGGAGGATGGAGACAGGCAATGCTGGGCATAACAGACTTCTCACACAGGTGATTCAGAAACAAGACCAGGGAAGCCGAGGAAAAAGGTGTCAAAGCAACAGAGGAAATACCCTGGGCTCAGGAACACAATAAAACAGAAGGGACCCAACACATGACCTAAACTCTAGGATAGGGCCTCCCGCCGCCATTCCCCAAATCAGGGAGACACCTGAGGTCCTGCCCAGAGTACGTGAAGGTGAACCACATTACACAAGCAGACACAATGTCTCTGTGTGCTTCTCTCTTATTCACAATGTCCTAGCTCCTTAGAGACCCATGACACTAATGAAAATATAAAAATACTACAAAAATACGCTTTAACTTTTTTGGGGGAGCGGGGGTGATGTGGGGAGGGTGTTTAGCCACTGAGCCACATCCCTAGTCCCTTTAATTTTCTACCTTGAAACAGGGTCTCACTAAGTTGCTTAGGGCCTTGCTTAGTTGCTGAGGCTTGTTTTAAACTTTCAATCCTCCCACCTAAGCCTCACAAGTTGCTGGGATCATAGGTGTGTGACACTGTATCCAGCAACATGCTTTAACTTCCTAAAAGTTAAAATAAATAAATAAATAAATAAACACCTGATTTGAAAGAATGTAAAAACACAGTTTATAATCTTAATTATTAATTATCTTTAAGGTAGTTTCACCTCTCTAGTTAGACTGTGAAATCCTCAGTGAAGACTGTGTTCAGTATGTCTTGCCCATAGAATTAGCAAAATGACTGTCACTATGCAGATGTTCCAGAAACACATACTGGCTAATAGAACACCTTCTCATTTAATAATGTAGAACAATGTGAATAAAGAGAATACAACAGAATTTACCTTTGAAACCTTTGGAACTAAAGCTAGTGTACAAAAGAAATACAATACTTTTAAGGCTTTAATTTTGGAAGTTTTCAAATTAGTGAAAAAAATCTATATATAAACCAAGATTCAATATAGGTTTAATAACCTCAGAGACTGAAAATTAAATTACTTTGTCTTACTTTAAATATATGTAAAAACTGTATTAATAATGTTTCTAAGATCTCTAACAGTTAAATTTTATATGCAGCTAAGCTACTGGCTCAGTCAATTTTTGTGAAGAAAGGAAGAAAAAGCAGCCACGGCCCTGACCACTGTGCAGGATGGGCCCCTCCAGTCTGCTGTCAGGAGGGGCCTGAGCAAAGGTCAACAGGTGGACAAGGCCTAGAACACGGCAGAACATAAGTAAAAACGTCCTGAAGGAAACGAAGCATGGCCTTTAATTTATTCATTGAAACTTAGCCAAAAAGTAATTTGATATTCTATTTTCCTCAGACAAAAATCATAGTGTTAATAGGCACACGATCATGCACTCCACTTTTTTTACTGCCACAAAACAAATTTCAAATTAAAACTCAAAGTATAATTTTAGAATGTAACAACATGATTTTTCACCCGGACAAAACAGACAAATTACTTTTTGTTTTACACCAGACTACTTCCTCATATTCTGATTACAGGTAATATGGCAGTGACCTTACAAAAGGAAACCTAAAACCCAGGCCAAGAGGAGGCCCCGTAAGGCCCCAAGAGTCCAAGGGTATGTTTTGGCACAGGCTGCTTTTCTCCTTTGCCCTCATGCATGTTACCTTGTCACCAGACTTCTGCCCGCTTGTCTTCTTCTTACCTTGTCCTTTATACCTTGGTATCTGAGCATGAGAATAAAATGACATTTTACCACATAATATCAATCTTTAAAAATAAACTAACTCATTACCAAACTAATAAAGGTTCCAATTAAAAAATTTCTTAAAAATGGAAAATCTAGTATGTTCCTTTTCAAAGCCTGCAGTTCTTAGTTTTTCTTAACAACTCATATTTACTTACTAATTCCAGCAGGTATCTGGTCAAGTGTAGGCACTCATCACCATCTGTCCATCCTCAGGTGGAGGATGCTTCTTTAAACACTAGCCTTAGTAGTATTCTAAGGAGGCCTGGCTTCAGCTCCTAAGCAGCTCTGTAGAATACTTGTCCTGACCTTACCCAACCATCCTAGGAGCATTCGAAGCTCCTAAAGAGTTCCTAAAGGCTGGTGGGACCCTCTCATTGGCCACAACATCCCTGCTTAGGCTCTCAAGGCTCATGAGAACCATGGGAGGCAGCCGGCAAGAAGAGGGTGGTAGAAGTACTAGAATCCCAAATCCAGACCCTTAAAACTAGAGGGCAATTGCATGTTAAGAGACAAAATAAGGATTCATTTTTAAAAAAGATCTCACCCTAGAGTGGCCAGCAACCACCTAGAGTTATTTCTGAAGGCGCCATTGCAACCCGAGCTTATGGTGCCAACTATGACATGGTGATCACACTGAACAGAAATGAGTGGCAGAAGCGTGGTGGTTCCGCCTGAGGATAGGCATTGTCCTCTGAATCGGCAATGAACGTAAGAGTTTTGGACAACATTTAACAACCTAAAACACTGAGGATTCTCATAATTCTCCAAAGTTAAAAATTCTTTAAGAATGAGTATGTAAACAGACTTTAATATTTTAACCCAAAGATATACTTTACGTAGGTTCACATTGTTAATTTGTCTTAATAACTTGATAAAAAGAGAACTTTCAAATAGCTCAATGCTGCTGGTAACTATTTTGACATAAATAGTAGTTAATTTTAATCTCTAATGCCAGATATTTTTGTGGAAAATAAGTCTTTCTTCCACAAGCTCTTTTATCAGCAATTAATTTTTTAACATTTACTCATGACCTATTCTGTTGTCAGGATTATAGCACCCACAAGCATGAGGGAAAACAACTTTTTAAAAAATTCGCTTTAAAAAACGCTAACTAGGAATCTCAGAAGAAAAACTATGAACAATATGATAATCTTTTTTCTCAGTCAAAAATAAAGCACGGCGTTTCTCTGGGCTTCTAACCTTCAGCAGCAGCAGTGCCAACAGCAGCAGTCACTGGGCAGCGTTCTCATCTGGCAATTGAGTCACTGCCCTCTGGAGACTCACCTGATTTTTTAATTTTTTAAAATTTTTTATTGCTACCAGGGATTGAACCCCGAAACCCTTGACCACTGAGCCATATCCCCAGCCCCATTTTATATTTTACTTAGAGACAGGGTCTCACTGACTTGCTTAGAACCTTGTTTTTGCCAGGACTGGCTTTAAACTTGAGATCCTCCTGCCTCAGTCTCCTGAGCTGCTCAGATCACAGACATGTGCCACCATGCCCAGCTTACTCCCCTGATTTAAAATATCACCTCTTACGTAAAAGTCACCGTACCACCCTGAACTCACAGCTTCATCTTTGAATGTACTCCACAGCATAACTCTTATTTCTATGGAGTAGAAATAAAGGAAAAATCATAGAATACAAATGTAACCTGTGATGGACTGCATGTTTATGTCCCCCCAAATTCATATGCTGAAATTCCAATCCCTTGGATAATAGTATCAGGAAGGGGAACCTTTGGGAAGCTATTAGGGCCAGAGGGTTGAACCCTCATGAATGGGATTAATCCCCTTATAAATAAGAGAGGCTCCAGAGAGCTCCCTTATCCCTTCCACCATGTGAGGACATATAGTAGGTCCCAATTAAAAACCAGGAGGTAAGCCCTCAACAGACACCAAGTCTGCACGCCTTTAACCTGGACTTCCAGCCCCAGAACTGGGATAAACAAACATCTGCTCTTTATTAACCTCCCCTCCTGGGATGTTTTATCACAGCAGTCTGACTAGACTAAACCATGACCCAAGCCCATTCTTAAATAAGACCAGCTACGCTCCAGTCAGTCACCAACTTTCCTAACAATCATATATTTGTTCCTCTATTGCTATATGTATATTCTTGATCTTAAATTCAAGCATTCAACTCAATTTTTTGCTCCTTTAAACCATATCCCCCAAATCAGGTCTTTTCTTTAATAGTACACAAGCATAAACGCACATGCACACACACACACACACACACACACACAAACACACAAAGCTAACCATAGTACGTATATTTTCCCATAAATTTTATTAAAATAGCTCATTAATATAAAAAACCATCATGATTTACAATTTCTAAATCTGACCACCCATTTAACAGTATATAATATTCAACACAACAATTATATTCTGGAAACTAATATTCTCAAACTAGGAATTTATAAATGAAAAGTAAACAAATCTCCTTGGTAATGGAAGAAAATATTCAAAGATCCAAATGAGTTCAAATATTCTACAACTCTGATGTTTAAGGGCATATTTTTTCCTACAAAATTCAACAAAAGGAATAGAAATTTTGAAACACATACTTAACCAAAAAGAAAAAGGCACCTTGAACAAATCAGAGCCCTTGTTACAAAAGAACAAGAAAACCTAGAACACACAAGAGTAGAGGGAAGAGCCCTCGGAGTCTCAGTGCGCATGTTACTTTGATACCCAGCTAACTCACCTTACTGGGGGTTCCATGTGCACTGGTTCTTCCTTCTGGTGACTTTGGTGGAGAATGTATATCAGACAGATCCAGTGCACCCTAAAAATCACAATTTAAAACACATTTAAAAATAAAACAAGAATATACAAATTATCTTTCAAAGGAATCTTAGCATTTAAAAACAATGTACAAAATTGGCATTTTACTTCTTGCCTCATTCACATAACTTTTCTTATCAGATTTCCTCTAATTTTACCAAAAAAAAAAAAAAAATGCACCCACATTCTAATTACCTATAAAATATTTCAGTCACCTTGAAGGCCACCTAGTTTGCACTGCAATATGCCCCTAATCTATCTTTTCAACACTGACTTTCTCTCTTCCCTTCTCTGCTAATATTATTCTGTGATTCTCAAAGGTCTACTTTTTCTACCCTCCTTCATTATATGTCAAGAAAAAAAATACCAAATAGCAACTCTCACAAAAACCATCAGCTTCTACAAACGGTAGTACTCTATTTCTCTTTTATGCCCCTTTACTATTTTTCCATTTTAAAGCAGCTATTCTAGTATGGCTTATATGTGCAATAGTTACATATGTCTCTCAGCACAAGGTTTTAATCATAAATGCAAAGGAGAGTTTTTAAAAATATTTCCTGAATAAGAATCACTTCCAAAAATTCACCTGTTATTATTACCATAAGCTCTATGACACTGTATTAAATACTGGCTATTTTGTTTTAGAAATTCTTTAACAACTACAATTTTTTAAATATGTAAATGTGCTATACATCATGGCTTCTTCCCAAGCCCATTCTATAATGGCAGCATCTTCTCCCAGGTTAGGAACTATAGCTCATCTCTGAGCTCTTCCTTTCTCACACGGCCTTCTATGACTCTGCCCCTTGCCAGAATACTAATTTACCAAATCTTGATGATTCTTCTTTAAAGGGTAATCTTTCTCTCATTTCTATTCTGCTTCCATTCTTTGTCTAGATTCGCCTTCCTACAGGTTTTACTTCTAATTTTCTCTAACCTTTACAAATTTGTCTTTCATGTAGCACTCAAAGACTTCAAAGACTTTCCACTGACCATGAGCAAACAACAGCTAATCACCATGTCTTTGATCCTACCAGGTGCATGAAAAGAAAACCCTTGTCCTCAACAGACTTGTGATCTAGTAGTATGACAGAGATAAATATATGTGACTGTAACAATCAGCAGAATAAATTCTAAATTAGACATCAGTTACCCGTAGTGAGAGAACAACAAGAGGAGGAAACACCACAGTCAGCCAGCTGTGGATAGTACCACAAGGATAACATTGCAGGCTGAGTGATGGGACAGATGTATCATTTCAGGCAGATAATAGGATAAGACAATAAGAGCAGGCAAAAAGACATAAGCTGCTTTCAAGTAATTAAGTTCAGTCTAGATTGAATGCAAGTTGAATATTCCTATCTGAAAACACAGAAAGTTTCAGACTTCAGATTTTTAGAACAGGTGATCCAGCACAGCTATACAAACATACTCAAGAGATCTGAAACACATTCCAGAAATGAGATACTCAACTTCCACAAGGTTTCACACTTCAAAAAACAAAACAACAACAAAAAAAACCTACACAAACAGAATCCTGCAGTATCACTCAGGAGCTGAGATTAAGGACAAAGAATCTAGGGATTCAAATTACCATTATGATAGTCATAGCAATTTTTAAAGAAAGAACACATGAAGAATTGAATTTTTAAAATAATTCAGCAACAGTGAAGACTGTAAAGGTGAGAACCCTGAGGAACGGAGATGAAGATGGATGATGAAGGTGCTAAAGGAAAGGATAATGATCCAGGATGAGCTCAGAAACAAGAGAGTGCTTCTGATGAACTACAGCCGGAAGACACTAATAGTCAACCACAATGAAGTATGCGGAACAGAGCAACTCAATTCTTAAGGTAGTTTTAAAATAAAGTTTTGGCAGAGCTCAACAAGTTAATCCATAGTTAGTTTCTATTATCAAAAGTCAAAGGACAATAAAACCTGTAATTTTTTATTCTGACATCAGGCTTTCTTTCAAAGTAATAAAGTAAAATACTAATAAATGATGGAAAAGCTAAAAAAGACTAAATACCCAAATATTAAGAGGGGAAAAAAACAGCAAAAAGTGGGGATAAAATGTCCAACTTAATTGTTTTGCAATCTAGAGAGCAAAACAATTCTATTTTGAAGAACAAGTTCTATGCTTAGTCTATCTGAAAGAATAGGATGTGAGTCAGGACAAACTGACAGGGCAGGCTGCAGTTCTACCCACCAGAACACGGTACTGAAGAACACACTGATTCATTTTACTCTCAAATCTCATCAACCACAAAGCAAAGGCTTTACCAGGTCTCAACTTGGTGCAAACATATGTCTAGCAGAGAAGAGCTTACAGCAATTAACTTTTCCTTAACTGCCAGCTGCCACATCTAGAGCATGCAGGCAAGAGTGAATTCCTCCTAACAAAGTGACCACATCCAGGGCTACCTGAGGAGCACTCCTGGGGTGGAGCCTGGAGTTCCAGAGCCCAGGAAAGAATGCAAGAACACCTGGAACTGAGGTTGGTTTGTGGGGATAGGAAGGCTGTTCTTGTCTTGTTTTTCTTTTTTAGAAGTCAGCTTTTTCACAGAACTTAAATGTACTAGTGGTTTATCCAGATTGTTATATGTAGTGAAGAGCTGGAAATTCCAAGCTGAAGCCAGGGGAGAGGATTGGGCAATGGCTAAGGGAGTCATCCACACAGTAACTATACAAAACTAAGAAACAGTGATAACAAAGGCCAGGGTTTACCCACTCACACCTCCATGCCAACACTGCTCTGAGAGCTTCCGTTATCGACTTCTAAAGTTTTGGCAGAGCTCAACACACAACCTGCTCACACAACCAAAATGTGGCAGGCTGGGGTTCCAACCCAACAGTCTGGCTCTAGAGTCCAGCTGTTATCTAGGGTATGAAGAGAGAGGACCAGAGAGAAAAACATGCAACTACCACTGCAATCAGGACAGAGAGTAACAGAGAAAGAAAACAAAAGGGCGGGTGGAGAAAGAAAAGACCTCGGGATCACAGAAGTTGAGAGGAGTGCAAAAAAGAGATGCTGCCACCAACTGTAGACTCGAGGTCCAGGAGACTGTTGAGCCATTTTTCATACCCTAATACATAACAATGTCCATCATATAAGAAGACAACAAAATCCTATTGACTTACTGAGGAATAAGTGAATGAAGGTGCAATACACAGGCTACGACGGCTCAGAGGCCGTCGGTCCCGGGTCCTGGATCTAGCCAGCTCCCCAACCGCCTTGCTGCACTCTTCTGCCTTCTGAAGTGCCCTTATTAAACTTGGTCCCCCAACCAATATCTTACTCACATTGCTTAGCAAAATTTTGGCATGAAACAATCACTTCACCCTTTGAATTAAAATAATTATTCACAAACATTTGTTAAAAAAAATCATGTATAATCTTCCTCTCTAATCTTGAACTGTTACTTAAACATTAATTCTGGAAGCATTTTTTTTATCCTGAATACCTCTGAGCTCTTCAAGCACACAAATTCTTCTTCTATTACCCATGGAATATATTTACCATGCCTGAAATTCAATTAGTACTAAAGCAAGCTTTACTGATTTTCAAAGTTCCCAGTAGAAAACATACACCTAGACTCCCCAAATGGAATACATACACAGGCCCATTTCCATCCACATTCTAGAAATTTCTATGACTGAAAAAGCATACTCAGCCACAAATCTGGAATAGTCACACATGTATCTACATCTTTAAGACAGTATCTTCATGTAAAACTAATGTGTGTATTATGGTTTAGATATAAGGTGTCCCCTAAAAGCTCATGTGAGACAATGCAAGAAGGTTCAGAAGTGAAATGATTGGATTATGAGAGTTGTAACCTAACTGATGGATTAATCCACTGACAGGGATTAACTGGGTCTAACTATAGGCAAGAGAGTGTTGCTAGAGATAGGTCACCAGGGGAACGCCTTTGGGGTTCATGTTTTGTCCCTGGTGAGCAAAGCTCTCTGCTTCATGGTCACCATGTGCTGAAGCGCTTTCCTCCTCCATGACCCTCTGCCATGATGTTCTGCCTCACCTCAAGCCCAGAGCTATGAAGTCAGCTGACCACGGACTGAACCTCTGAAATCATGAGCCAAAATAACTTTTCCTCCTCTAAGTTGTTCTTGTCAGGTCACAGCAACAAAAAACTGACTGAAACAGTATTTAAATATAAGTCAGACCTGCTCAGGAGTAGTTCTGAAAAGAAAGGTTAAGAATAAGAAGATCACTGCTAATCAACAAATTTGAAAACGTTTTGAAACTAAGCAAAATCAACAGCTCAGTTTTAAACATAATCTAAAAAAACCTTTAAATTAAAAAAAAAAATTGTCTATACATCATCTCTTCCAAATTTAACTAAAATAAAAACTAAAAACTAGCTGAGTATTTCCTATGTCAAGTATCATTCTTACATTTTATATGTGTTAACTCATGAGTCTTACAACACCCACAAGATGTAGATCCTATTATCCAAATTTTATAAATGAGGCAATGGAGAGATTAAGTAACATGTTAAAGTTTGAGAGCTAGGCAATGAGGAACTATCATTTTTTTTTCAGACAGTTTGGCTTCTCAATTCAACACTCTGAAGATCAATAACTAAAACAATATACAAAAGTGTCAAAATCAGGGCTGGAGTTGTGGCTCAGCGCTGGAGCACTTGCCTAGCAAGATCAAAGCCCTGGGTTTGATCCTCAGCACCACATAAAATTAAATAAATAAAATAAAGGTATTGTGTCCAACTAAAAAATAAGTGAGCAGAATATTTCAATTTTCATTACAATATATATTTATTCTCACTGCATTTCATTATCTTTAAGGAAATCTTTTCATGTTAACCTTGACTCACTGCATATATCTACTCTACTGGTCAAATTAGACAAAAACGAAAACAAATCATGAAGGATCACACTTACTTCCCCACCGGAGGGCCCTTTCTCCTTCTGTTGGCAGCGTCTGATCACTTCTAGTAATAAGGGTCCTCCCACAGTGCCTTCCGCTTCAATGATACCTAAATCACGGGCTAAATTCTCTCGACCTTCTAGACTTTGAAACTGGAAAAGAAGAAGACACATGTGCCCAAAAAAATACCAAAAGTACATCCAGAGATCACAGAAAGTATCTCCAAACTCAAACAAGCTATCTTTCTAGTGAATGTCTACTTTTAAAATTTTACTTTTTTTTTTTTTTAAAAAATGCCACAGCATAGGATCATGACAAAACTAACTCTAATAATACTTAACTTTATTAGCAAGCTACAAATTACATGAAGTAGCAACACTGGTACCTTTTCTCTGACAGTTCAAATAGCTTTTATAAGAAAAATGAATCATCAATTAAAAAAAATAATCTGTGTGAAAGTAAATATAACTTGTCAAATTTTATAAGCTTCCAGGTTAATAATAACTCATTTGTATCAATGTTTCAGGGACGTGAAAACAGATGTAAAAATCATTGTTCTTACTGTGCTTGTTTCAGGTTGAAAAACAGCCAAGGTAAAGTCAAGGTTAAAAAACTGGAGAAATTCTGCAACAAGACTAGCCACTAAACGACCTGTAAAGATCAAGAAAAAATTGTGTAAGCAAATCCTAAAAAACTTTCAATTTCAATTTCACCAAACAGCCTTGGTGAAATAAGATAATGAATAGGAGAAAAAGAGGCTTCTAAATTTTTCAAATTATGAATTTCTTCTCTTTAAATAGATAAATAATAAAAAATCTCAATCTTCAATTTTTTCCTTAGGATCACCAGTCTGAAACTATAAAACAATGCAATATTCCACAAAAATATTTCAATGTTGTACTTTTTATATTAAAATTGTGTTTATGTAAAATTTGCTTTAACCAACAACTTTCCACAACCAAACCCACTGAACAATAGCAATGTGACTGTTACACAGCAAAATATTTTTAAATGCGCATCTATAAGAAAATATACTTGAAAAAAAGATAAAATTTCTGATTTTTCCCTAAATGGTGACAAGATTTGAAAATTCAGAGGCAGATAAAAATAAACAAGAATGAATGGAAAGTCTTACCATCTTTTGTATTTAAAAACTTTTTCAGGCTTTCATTGACTAAAGGAGTTTTGTTCTGTTAAAAAAAAAAAATGAAATATTTTAAGTGTCATGTTTATCCTAAAAATAACTATGAAATGTACATTAAGTTTAATTTTTGGCAAAGACATAAGTAATATGTTATCATTCATAAAATTAGTTTCTGAAATCCATTTCACAAACAGGACTTGATTTGTACTATTTAATAATGTCTCAAAGTTAAAAAGCCATACATGAAGACCCATGTTTGTTTTAAATTGTTTTATAAATTATTCATTAAACTGCTTTTGAAGTCCAATATCTTCAATACTCCTGTAAAATGCAATTAAATTTAAACAACTATTTATTATTTCAAATGTATGGAGTATGATATTTTATCATCTTAGGTCTCTATTGTTTATAACATACTTAAAATTTCCAATAACAAGTAGCCATAGTTCAACTTATCTTTGTAATTATAGATCTGAATAAATATAGGAAAAAATACTCTTTTGCATCACAGCTGTGATTATTGACAATGAGGCTCAAACAAGGCAGCACAAGAGGGACCTCCTCGAGCTGAGCACGAGTTACAGGTAGATAAGCGCCTCATAAACTGCTGATGGGAATTCAAAATGGCACAACCATTTTGGAAAGCAGTTTGGTGATCATTTTTAAAAAGCTTAAAATATCCCTAGCACGAATGTGATCCACTTATTTCACCCTTATGTATTTCTCAAGAGATATCACAAATTTAAGCAAAGACTTATACATGAATGTTCACAGCATTTAATTATGATAATCAAAATCCAAAAATCATTTAAATATGTGTATCAACAGGTAAATGGTTAAACAAGTTGTCAGGTATCCATTCAATGAATCAATGGAAAGATATCTTGAACCCAAGATTACATGACATGACTTAATACACACAAAATGAATTTCAAGTGCATTATGCTGAACAAAAGAAGCCAGATCAAAAATAGTACATACTATAGGATCCCATTCATATGGCTCTGAAGACATATTTGGGATGCAGGGGGGACACAAGAAAATTTTGAAGGATTAGAGTTATGTTCACTATCTTGATGGTGGTAATCAGTACATATTTAGCATAAATGTAAAAGTTTACCAAATTACACATTTTATATGCTGAATTCACTGTTGGTCAATTATACCTCAATTAAGTTTTGTTTTGTTTTCAAAAAAGAGGGAAAGATCACGAAGCACCCCGATAGTCTAGTTTAGGAAATTTGAAGACTGAGTCAACTAAAACACTCAGGAAAGAATGGAGAGACAAGATCAGATAAGTATTATAAACAGTCAATCTAGATCTAGAAGCAATATAGAGGACTCGAGGGGGATTGTGAGGGGCGTCAGCAAAGGGAAGCCTAGATAATAGGAACAGGATAGAGCACTCTGGAAAGGAAATAATGAAGCACAGGCAAAGCAGGCAGCAGAGTACCTCCACACTGACCTTCAGAGACAGACTGGACAGACAGCTGGGTGAGGACTGAGCAGGTAGGCAGAAAGAAAGGCAAGGCCTAAGAAACACATTTCCTGCCTGATTTCCCCAGAAAGATGGGTCTATTAGTTAGTTGAACATACAGGCCTGCAGCTCAGGAGAAACATAGGCGCTGAAAATATGGTGCTCAAGTTACAGGTGTTATTAAGGTCACTAGGAAAAGAATACAGAATGAAAACTGGGGAACAAGGTAACAAGTGCAAGAGTTCAAGTGCAGTACAGAAAAAAAGATCATGCTAAAGATATCTTGGAATAAGAAAAGAGAAAAAACAGAACAGAAAGAGGTCTCAAAGGTCAAGGGAGACTTTTCAAGTAAGAAGGAATTAAGAATGTCAAATGCCACTATGCTCAACCAGACAGGTAAAAAACAAAGTATATTCAAGATATTCTTCTTGACTGTAGCAAGAGACCTTCTTAAGGTATAGTAGTGGTATATTTAAAATGTTAATGACAGAATGTCTGGTACTGTAAGAAATGGTATGTGATATACACATTGTTTCAAAACCTAGATTTCTGGAAGGAAGAAAAAAAAAAATAAGACTATGGAAGGCAAAACCCAAAGTAATAATACCTGGATAAGACAGGGCCTTGCCAGGCGTGGTGGTGCATGCCCGTAATCCCAGAGGCTGGGAGGCTGAGAACTTCGAGTTCAAAGCCAGCCTCAGCAACTTAGCGATCAACGAGACCTTGTCTCTAGATAAAATAGAAAAAAACAGAGCTGGGGATGTGGCTCAGTGGTTAAGCACCCCTGGGTTCTATCCCAGGTACCTACCCACCCCCCCCAAAACACAAAAAATAAAAGACAGTGCCTTTTCTAAAGCAGGAAAGAGAGAGGTAGAGGGAGGTACAGATACATGCTTTTTAGGTAAGCTTTTCCTAAGGTAAGCAGTAGATTGGGGGCAGGAAGAGGAAGACACAAAGGACTCGATGACTTCCATTTTTCCCTGTGAGGGAGAAGACAAGACAATCTGTCTAGAGCAAAGAGAACAGATAAAGCAGAAGGCTTAAATGAAGTTAAAGAGGGGACTGCCAAGTAAAACACAGATCGGCTGGACCTGATCAGCTCCCAGCTGCGGGTGGTAGCCACCAACCTGTAGCATCACCAATTCATATGGTTAAGTGGCTGTATCTAGAAAGTGAAGTAGTCAGGGTTTCTGAGGGAAGGCCCATGGTTCTAGATTAATCAAGAAAAAAGAATCAAGCTGGAGATATAGCTATTTGGTAGAGTGCTTCCCCTGCATGCACAAAGCCCTGGGTTCAATCCCCACAATCACCAAAAAAAAAAACTAATGCTTCAAAACAAACAAGGAGAGAGCAAACAATAAATGAACAGTTTGATGAAATTAAACAGAAGGTACATAGGTCTAAGCAAGTGGGAAAAGTGCCATCAAGGACAATGAAAGACTTTGATTATAAAGTGAACCTTGTTGACAAGTTACAGGATATTTAGTTAGGATTTTTTAGGGGATTATTGGTAGAGGGCAAAAAATAAAAAATAAAAAATAAAACCCTATAAATTATCGATTGAATAAAAAGATGTGAAAAATACTAGAGGACAAAAAAAATTTGGAAAGTTACATACTACACACCCCCTACCTTGAAGATGCACAATGCATACAAGCTTATTAAGGGTTCTGAACAATCTCAGCTAACTCACTGACAATGAACCATTTCTTCTGGTAACTCCTACAACTTTTTGTTTCGGATTTAGCACTGGCCTAAGTTACTGTGCATACTTTTAGGAATACTCCGAGATTCAGGAAGATACACAAAAGAGTACCGTCGGTTCCCCCCAGTCATAGAGAACCTGACGTGTGGCCGTCCGCAGCGGACCGCAGGCTGCAGCAGTCCGTCTCGGAGCGTCCCCCACCGGCCAGAAGCCGGCTGACCCCCGCTAGCTACATCTGCGGGCTGCGTACCTCTACTTTTTCTTGCTCTTCTAGTGCTAAAAACACAGCTGCGCGAAGTTCAGCCTGGAGAAGGAGAAGGGGAGTTACCGGGAGCCGCCGGGCACCTGCGGGCTGCCCATCCTCCGGCCAGCGCGGCGCCCCCTCCCCGACCGGCCCGGCGCCGCAGCGCGGTCCGCTGACCTCGCGCCCCCGACCCTCCGCCGCGGGCCGCCACCCCGCGCCCGCCGACCCCGAGCCGCGGGCGGCCACCCCACGCGGCCCGCGCTCCGGGCCCCGCGCCCTCTTCACCCGCCTCCACAAGATGGCGCGCCCGCCCGGCCCGGCCGCCCGCCTCCCGGCCACCCTGTCGGCGTCCGCGCACCTTGATGCGGTTCAGGACGCCGCTGTTCTCCAGCGTCTGCACCAGCAGGTCCCGCAGCTCCGTGTCCTCCTCGGCCACCACCGCGGCCGTCGTCGCCGCCATCTTGCTTCTCCAAGACAACCGCCCAAGCCGCGCTAACGGCCAACGGCCGCCGCAGAAGCCGCACGGCGCAGCGACGCAGCGAACCCCGCCCCTCACGTCGGGGGCGGGGCCTCGAGACTACGGGCGGACGCGAGAGGGCGAAGCGTCGGGACGCAGGGGGCGAGGACTCGACGCAAGTCGAGATTGGGGTTGTGGGGGCGGGACGTCGGACGCCAGGGCGAGGACTCGACGCACGTCCAGGCCTCAGGGCTCGGGGGCGTGGCCTTGGCTCGGGGCGGGGCGGGGCTGGGGGCGGAGCCGGGCTAGGAGCCGGGCTAGGAGCCGGGCTAGTAGGAGGGCAGGCGTCTGAGCGCCAGGTCTGCGCTGCAGAATTCTCGTCCCAATTCCAATAGGGTGGTGGTTGGCTCTTGGTTCAGTGCACTGCCCAGCTGCGGGCTAACCCCGAGAGACCGCCGTCGGGCAGTGTCTGCATGTACAACTCATGCATGTGTCTACGCCCATATGTGCGTCTATGTGTGTCTGTGTTTGTGTGTGTGTAAACACTTTCTCGAGAAAGTGAGTCTGTATTTCGGGTGGAGGCTAGGAATGAAGGCTCAGTGCACTGGCCTTGTCCTACTGTTTACTCCGGTGTGTTTTAAGTCCTTTTGCAAGAATACTTGGGGAGGGAAAGGGAATCCCAAACTCCAGCACTCATAGGAAACGCTCTCATCCACAAGGGCTGTGGCAGGGCGTAGGAGCTCTCCTTTATCTTCCTGCAGGTAGTCTGCAGATTAGAATCTGAGATACAAGTGCTGAAAAACATCTTTCATATTGATGGTCTAACAACAAGAATACAGGAAAAACTGAGTTTAAATGAAGCCTTTTCTTGTATCTAAAGAGAGAAGATTAAGAAGTTAGTTTTGAGGTGGACTTAAAAAGAAAATAATTAAATTGGATTCATTTGAGAGAAGTAAGACCATTCCAAACATAAATGATGACATGCGCTTTAAGAGAAAGGGTCTGGTGTAGTGCTCAAGTTGCCGACAACAGAATCTGATCTGGTTAGAAAATGGGGATGGACGCCTGGGAAGCCAGGAAGACACCCATGGACCAGGTAGACAAGAGGAAGGCAGAAGGGAAGAGTGCTCCTGCTGGGGAAGGACACAGACGCAGAGGCTGGAAAGCCGGACCCATGGGGAAATGAAAACAGCATCTATGGCAGAAGCAGGATTCAGGAGCTGGCACAATGACGCATTGGTTTGGGGAATGAGCCATTTGAAGCCTGTGATGAACATGCAGCTTTGGACATCTGGAAGACAATTTGAAATTCCTTGAATTGACAAATTGAACACCTGCTCTGTTCTAGGCCCTAAATTAGGTAGTGAAGAGGCAGCAGAGCTCCTTTCCCTGAGTCAGGGAGCTGACAGTTCAGGGATTCAGACAGATAACTCTTAAAACTGACTGAAAAGACTGAAAAGGGAGGGTAAGAGAAGAAGCAGCTGGACAGACATTCAAGGAGGACAGAGAACAGTGTCCTACAGTGACTGTATTTGGAGAGCCGGCCCACAGGGGCAATAAAGGTGGTGTGAGGTCATAATCCAATAGGATTGGCGTGCTTAGAAGAGGGAGAGAGACCAGGACTCTCTCCATGCCTCTAAGCCATGCAGAGGCACCTTACAGAAACCAAAAGTGCTGCCACATAATCTTGAACTTCCACCTCCAGAAGTGTGGGAAAGTGTGCTTCTGTTGTTCAAGCCATCACCCCATGGTGACCGTCAGTCTCCTAATGGAGTGCTGCTGAACACCTGTTGTAATAGGGGTTTCCTGGTCAGTAAGGAAGAGAGGAAAGATACCAGGGGACAGGGCCAGGGGACAGGGCCAAGGGACACGGGCAGTGGTAAGGTCTGGCTGAGGTGGCCAGAGTGCGAGGGCTTCATCCGCCAACGTGACAAATCTGACTTTCATCCTGAAGGTAGGAAATGGCCTGTAAATGTAACTGTAAAAGCAATGTGGGCAGGTTGGGGCTGAGGCTCAGTGGTAGTGCGCTTGCCTAGCACATGTGAGGCACTGGGCTCAATCCTCAGCCCCACATAAAATAAATAAATAAAACAAAGGTGTTGTGTCCAACTACAACTAAAAATTATATTTTAAAGCAATGTCGGCAGTAGCCTCTTTAGATTTTGAGACTCCAGAAGCAAGAGGGGATGGGAAGGTGAGATGCAATGATGCTAAAACAGTTGCTCCAATAGTCAAGAAGGATTAAGAAGGGCCTCAAATAAGGTCACAGAAGAGAACATGAAAAGGAGAGGATAGAGCTGAGAAACATGGATATGGCACGGATGTTTTATTTATTTCCAGAGAAGCAGAAACTGTGTACATGTCTACATATATACATACATATATACATATGCACCCACAAAGAAATTTATTATAAAGAATTGGCTCATGGGACCATCACAGTCACACAGCCAAGATCCGCCACTCAAGTCTATTGGGTTCCTGCTCTTTCCAGGAACGAGTCCTGAGATCTGTTGATTGAGTTGGCAAGCAGGAGACCCAGGAGAGCGGATGGTGTGCCTCCTGGCCAAAGGTAGCAGGCTTGAGACAGGGGACAGTCAGTGTTTCAGTCTGAGTCTAAAGGTGAGGAGGCAGGAAAGACTCTTCTACTGGGGATGGTCATCTGTTTCATCAGGCCTTCAGCTGAACACCCAAATTAGAGGGAGCATTCTGCTCCACTCAGTCTACCAGTTTAAACATGCTCACAGACACCTCCAGAATAACGCTGGACTGAACATGGAGGCCCTCCATGACCCAGTCAAGTTGACACATAAAACTAACCATAACAAATATGTTCCAGTAACTTTAAGTGTGAAATAACTAGATTCTGATAAGAATAAACACAGGAGGGTAGAACAAGGAAATGCCTTCTGACTTTCTGCTTTTATTTTCTTGAAATAAAATGTGTCTTTGATGTTAAAATTAAAAATGATTCTGGAATCATAAAAAGAGTCCACCAGTCTGTACTCAGTGGTAGACTTTCTTACTTGGGGTCAGGTGTCCTGTTTTTATAACGATCAGGCAGTGGAGAAGGAGTACGTTTCTCCAGGGTCGTGGGATGCCATGCATGAACTGTGCGTGAACTAGAACAACGTTGAAGCCATCGGGCAGGAAAGCCTGGTATCAGGAACTCCCAGCAGCAACCCTGCTAGTGTGAGAACACCTGGTTCTGGTGGCTTCCTACACAGCTCCATCACAAGTTCAGGACAGCACTGGAGATGAGGGTGACCTGCTGGAGCCACACAGCGTCTGTGTTTGGCTTGCCAAAATGTCTATCAACGGTTTACTGCAAGATACCCTCCTCTCCAGGGTTAGAAGCAAGACTCCTCCTACTGAAATCTTATCCCTGCCTTTGATGTACTCCCATCAGGACTGGAAGACCCATCAGCACTCCTCTGTATATCTAATTTCTGGCTCTGGCTCTATTTCTTACTAATTGTTTCAGACTTTTTACTTCCCAGGCAGCTCACATTACCTAAGCAGGAACCTATGTGGCAGGATACTGGTCACCTTGCAATACCAGGGCTCATCGATTTCTTCAAATATCTTAAGATTGTGCAAAAGACATAGCACACCTGGAAAATTAGCAAAATTGCTTAGTGTCTTATTTTGACAAAAACTTATTGATCAGGGTGTATGATAGTCAAAATCATGGATTCCAGAGCTACAGTGCATAGGTGTGAATACCCTTAGTGGTTATGTTGATCACAGAAAGTTTCTTAACCTCTCTGTGCCAGTTTCTCACAAGTACATGGAGATAAAAATCACGTGTATATATGGGTATATGTATGAGTACACATAATCAGATGTGTAGATAATACTTAATATCCTGAAACATAGAATGCACAATAAAAAAAATTATTGTTTTGAACATACAGTCTAATTTCATTGTCTCAGTGATGCTCTGAGAAAACAATTTTTTCCTGACTTGTTATAGATGAGACCAAAGCTCCAAAAATCTAGGTGGTATGTCCACAGTCACACAGCCAAGATCCGCCACTCAAGTCTATTGGGTTCCTGCTCTTTCCATGGTATTTCACGTTCTTCCAATATTTATATAAGATATTTGTTAGTTCGCTTTTTGTTGCTATAACTGGATGGTGCAGACTGGGTAGTTTATAAAAAATAGAGGATTATTTAGCTTGTGGTTCTGAGGCTAGGAAGACCGATATCAAGGTGGCCTTCTTACCACCTCACCACATGGCAGAGAATCGCATGGAAAGACAGAACACATGTGCTAACTCAGATCTTTTCTTCCTATAAAGCCATTTTGTCTTGATGCAGCTCTGCTCCTACAACCTCAAATAATCCTAATGCCTCCCCCAAACCCAGATGACGTCAGCATATGAAATAGGAGAGTAGGCTTCTAACACATGAACTTTCTAGTGACATATTCAAACCACACAATAATGTAATTAAATAGAAGTAGGTAAAGAAAAAAAGGCCGAATGAAGGAAATGGGAAATGCAAGGGAGATGTTCTCCCTTCTCAAGACAGCTTCAAAGCCACCGCCACCAGGGGGCAGTGTGCAGCAGGACAACGGGCATTTCTGATTACCAGCTCAAAGATAGGATACCAGAATTTGCCACCCCAAAATGTCCCACCATTTTGGCATAAGGCTGATCTTGAGCTGAAGGCAAATGAGTCCAAGCAGATAACATTTTTTTTAAATCCTCTGCTTTCTGCCTATTTGGCTAAAGGCCTCCCCTCTCTACCAGGATGGAGAGAGGTTGGTCCCTAGAGAAAAGGCTGGCCCTGCTTGGCCCCAGAGGGCACCAACCCACCACAGCAGCCGGCCCTGGTCCTCCTCCATTCCCACTGCTCAGCTGCCCGTAGGATGCTGCCTGGAGACTCAGTCCTTTTCCTAACATTCATTGTTCCCTGCTGAGAGGCTGCGTGGGCCTGAGTTCCAACCACCCCTCTCCACAGAGTGCTCCCTGGGTACAGGCCACACAGGGGAATAAACGTGTTTTCCCCCTTCTTCCCATGGAGTTTACAGACGCTTGACCAGAGAATCTAAGATGGACGGAGGGAAAACATTCTCCTCCCCTACAGTGTTAGAGTGGGCAGCTAATATTATCTGTTGACTGTCCATTTAATTTACGTCTTTAAGTTAGATTTGGGGGGGATGGGTTGAACCCAGGAAGCCCTCTAGTACTGAGCTACAGCCCATTTCCTAGCTGTTCTTACATACTAAGATCAGTATGAAGATGTTTTTCTTCTACTCTACTATTTCCCTGAGAATCTTGTTATTTGTTTATTTCTTCGTTTCCCTTCACCGCCTAGCGCACTTTATGAATTTAATTACTTTGTTGCTAAGTGCATGTCTATGAAGAATTGATTGGTTCAAAATCTGTAACCATGGAAACATGGCAATATCTGGTACATATAAGCCTTAGAAATGCACACTTCCAGTGTTCCAGTAGATATGTGCTACTCTTCTACTTGAAGAATTACCATTTTTAAAATTGCTTCAAATTACTATTAGCCTGCTCTCTTAACCCATTACTTAAATGTCTTTGACATTTAGACTCAGAATCTGGCAAATACATTAGGACAGAAATAAATTAACTGAAAACAGTAGATGTCAACATCATTTTATTTATGTGTTCATTTAAAAATGTTTTTGGTGCTGAGGATCGGACCCAGGACCTCACAAGCCAGCTACGTATGTAGGCTAACACTGAGTTACATCTCCAGCCCCACCTTCCAGTGCTATTGTCATTCCAAAATATATATATTCATTCTCTAAAATGTGTATGAAATAGAATATTGCACTGATTTAATTAATGAATCTAAACAATACACAAGAAGATTAAAATACACACACACTTTGGGACATGCACGCTGAAATTCTTGCTGTCTTAATATTTCTTTCATATATGTGTGTGTAGGAACATATACCAATCCTCTTTTTTCTTTGACTTTTCTGTATCTGAAACAGTGCTTCCCCACTGGAACAGTTATGCCCTCCCAGAGAACTTCTGACAATGTCTGGACACATGTTTTCTTGGTGGTGGTTGGGGAGTGGGGAGCTCGGTTACTGGCTTCCAGGGGTAGAGGCGAGGGCACTGCCGGATGCCCCATGCTGCCTGGAACGGACCTGCACAGCACAGAATGATCAGGCCCACGATGTCAGTAGAGCTGCTGCAGAATGATTCCCCATCTATAATTAGTGTTATGTAAGTGCAATTTGTCAACTTTATAGACGACATTTTGTAAATTTTTTTTGATCCACACGAAATTCCCTCTGCCTTCAAATACATTTCTTCTTTCTCCCTTGGTCAAGTGACTATCAGCTCTTCTGGGCAACTCTAAATTCTGTAGCCAGTGAAACATTGCAACTGTAATAGGAAAAAGGAAACAAAACAATGTTGTTTTTAATGTAAATGTTTACACATAACAGGTTACTTTCAAAATCTAAAAGCTGTTCACACATTAATTTTATCATGAAAGTTTTAAAAAAAACTTTTGAATATCTTTAAAATAAGGCCACTTCCAGGTGTCATGAGAGTTTTGGACCAAAAATCCATGTTCTCCATGACTCTGGGCAAATCAATTATCTTTCCTGTTCTCAATAATCTGGAAACATTTAATGTTTTATCTCGGAAAAAAAAAATAAATTTACAGAAAAGTCGTAAGAATACCACAAATAGCTCCTTACCCAGATTTATCCTTGTCACAACTTTGCCATGTTAGCTTTTTCTATCCACTGATCTATCTGTGCATCATGAACCACCTCAGTGAGAGGCAGAGGTCAAGCTGCTTTGCCCTCACGTGTATGCCCTTGGAATAAGACCATGGCTTCACATGGCACCCTGACGTCTGCAGAGGACACGGAGCGCCACCCCAATGCCATTATCAAGTGGCAGACTGGCACAACGGGAAGGGAGAAGGGACCTGGTTCTTAGCATTTGCTGGCTCCCGTGGTTAACAGCTCACCACGGTTGATTTCAGGTTACTGACAGTTTAACCAACAGCACAAAAAACTGCGTAGTATCGAAAACCTGGCTCCGAGGGAGTCAGTGTGAACCCACCCAGCCCATCGAATCTGTCATTGGTTCTTTGGTTCCTACTCAAAAATCTCCAGCTGCTTCAACAATATTCTCAATAGCAACATTTCCTCCCAGTTCAAGATTCCGCTCAAAATCATCACTGGTCCTACTTCTTTAGAATCCATGAAGAATGACTTTAGTGTTTTGTTTTGTTTTTGAGACAGCGTATGACTATGTCGTCCTGGCTGACCTCAAACTCACGATCCTTCTGCCTCAGCTCCCTAGTGGCTGGGATTTCAGGCATGTGCCCCCACACCCAGCATTAGTTAGTGTCCTTTAATCTGGAGTGGTCTATCCTTTCTCCGTCTACCACACACTGCTGTTCTTAAGGGCAATATTTTGTAAAATGACCTTCATTTAGGGTCATCTGCTGCCTTCTTATGGGTAGATTTCAGTTATGCATTTGGGGCAGGAGTAGCACCTAAGTCCTGAGGAGGACCACCTCAGAGCACCTGATACCAGCTTGTCCTGTAATTGGTGATGCAATTTCTGATCACTTGGCTAAGTGTGTTTGTCAGGTTTCTCACTGTAAAATTACTCTTTTCCTTTAGTAATTAATATTTCATGGAGTGGCACTTTGAGACTATAAATATCCTCCCCCTCATCAAATTTCCCTATTAATTTTAGCATCTGTGAGCCATTCTCCAGATTGGTGCCAGTGATCCTGACCTACATCCCTGGGTCCCCTCCCCACCCCAATCCAGAGGGATGTTGAGGATATAATGAAGTTCACCTCTAAGGTTCAGCCACACAGGAAGCCATGTTGGCCCCCACCTTGCTCTGGACCTCTTCCCCAGAGGATCCAGGCACTCAAAGTGAGGGTCTGGGCCTTCCTGCAGCAGCTGTGGGAGCCAGTCACTGGAGATGACCCTCCCCCCCAGGCAAGCCTGGGGACATCGCAGCTTCAGGCGAGGCAACCCCTAATCGCAGCCTCCAGGAGGTGCCAGGCCAGAATCACCGTGCAAAGCCACTCCCACAACTTGGTGGGTAGTAAATTGTCATCCTAAACCAGCGAGGTGAGGAGTAAGCTGAGGTACGTCTGGAGGTGACCAGAGAGCATCAGAGGATGCTTCTTTCCTTGAGTCAGTCACTACTGTGCCAGCTGTAAGAGGGAGAGATTTTTTGGTTTGTTTTTTTAAACTGTATCTCAATGTCTACATTTATTAGTTGGTGTTCTCTGAGGAGGAACTTTGCCTCATTTTATTTATCTACATCAGTGTGGCGCATAGATTTTTATTTTATTCAATAAGTTATAATCCATTTTTCTCATTGTTTTATTTTGCTGCTCAAATTGTCCCACGTTTGGCCATTTGGCTTTCCTCCTACCCCCTTGTCCTTGGACATATTTTCATTATTTTTAAGCATGTCCTTACTTTCTGGTTTGATAGGGGACAGTCAGACACCAGTGGTGGGAACACAAGGTTCAGGGGATATCCATAAACTGGGTCCATTCTGCTGACCCCCATATGCTATCTCTTCCAAGAAGCAAGTCACCTGCAGCCCTGCCTGGCCAAAGTGGACAGACTGTGTCACATTCCATAGAAAACTACCTGTTATCTGCAGGAGAAATGCCTGAAATAATGTTGCTAAGAGAAATCCGAATTACCTTGAAGGGGGACACTTTCCACAGACCAGATCCCCAAACTTAGGGAGATAAGGATAATTCCTCCTAATCATAAAATCTGTAAGAATTTAAGAGTCCAATTTGAACTGGTCAGCATGGCCCAAACGTAGAGTTGCCGTGGCAGTGGGGACTTGAAAACATGACATTGTCCTCCTGTCAGCCAAAAGTCAAAAGGTGGACCTGGGTGGGACTCTCTGGAAACTTCCCTGGGATCCCCAATAAAACTGGCGTGCTGGAGGGGCACGCTGTCCCTCTCCTCTCTGAGAGGACCACTCTCCCCATGAGAGCGTCCCCTTTCTCTTTTCCTAGCCCTTCGATGAACTCATGCCTGTTCCCTGAGCAACGTGTCTGAAACCTTCCTGACTTGATGACAGGAATCAGGGTTTGAAGGGGGGTCTTCACACTGCCTCGATTTCCCAGAAGGCCCCAGCCCTGAAACAGGTTCATCTTGTCTTTTTGTAACCCAGCTCTGGAACCAGCCTTTTCTCCCAGGATCCCTATTTCCTTTTAGTGGAGGATGATACTCAGAAACCAAACTTACTACCTCTATTATTCTATGTATTCTTTTAAAAGTTTAAAGTGTCACCTTCCATATTTAAATCCTCAATCTCTTCTGATGTGATTTTTTGTGTATGGAGTGAGGAAGGGGTCAAATTTCCCTTTTTGTCCTAGCATTAATTATGTTAAATAGTTCCTTCTTCACCTATATACCTATAATCCTCTCTCTAATGTCAATCAAAGCTCCATAGTTAAGTTGGTTTTCCCTTGGTTCTCTTTTCCGTTTCATTTGTTAGCTGGTCTATAAACACACTGTTCAATATTGGAGAGTGTGTGACAGGTAGGTACAAAGCTAGATATAGACATGGATGAATGTGTTCTGTGAAAACCTTAAAGCAATGATCACCCAGTCCAAGTGAGCGTTCCCCATTCTAATGCTGTCTTGAAGTGCCATCTCCCAGGGGAGGGGAGGGTGGCACAGAGGGTTTTGAAGAAGTAGCTGATTCTAGGTCTGAGGCAGAAAATGTAGAAAATGAATCTAGAACATTTTATCAGAGAGCAACGAAGCTATTAAAGACTACCAGGTGATGCTAATAGGACACAAATATCAAATGGTAGATTTTCCAAGGTCCCAAATGGGACAATTGAGCATCAGTGAGGATGTTAACTGCATCAGATTGAAATAGCCCCCAGATAACAGGAAACACACACACTTACACACATACACTCACACACACCACACACACCTACACACATACACACCACCTACACCTATACTCACACACGCATGCTTACACACACACTCCACACTCACACACACACACAAACACCACACACACTACACACACACACACTCACACACAAACACACCACATACACTCTCAGACACGCACTCACATATACATGTGTCTGGCCACCCTGAAGAGATGCTAGGGAATCAACTATTCAAAACTGAGAACAGAGGGAAAGAATGGAGAAACTTAACGTGCCTTTCTTATTCAAATCGTCACTATTCAGGTCCCAGCAGTGTAGACAGAAGGTGTTACTACATAGAAAATTTTGAGCAAGTAAGGAAGAATGACAGAATCCTGCTATTTTTCAACCCCAGGGACTGTCATTGAGCATCATAGACTGCAGCACCTCACACAAAGGCACAAGATGGCACGTTCTTCTTGATGGAAAACTGCCTGTGAGGTTGTTTTGTTACAGAAGCCAAACCTCAGCCTCAGTAAGCCTCTGTGTCCAACTACAAATTTACACAAATACAAAGGAACAGAGGGACATCCCAATCTCCGCGGAGGGGTGCAGTGAATGAAAGCTGGGTGGCCCAATCGCCTGCCGCCTGCCGTGGGGATCCTCAGGGCTCGGAGCTGTGGGCAGTGCCTCCTGGAATTGATGTAAAGAGACATGTTAGCCAATCCCTAAAAAACAAATGCCAAATGTCTTCTTTGATATAAGGAGAGTAACTAAGAACAGAGCAGGGAGGAAGAGCATGAGAAGAAGATTAACATTAAACAGGGATGAGAGGTGGGAGGGAAAGGGAGAGAGAAGGGAAATTGCATGGAAATGGAAGGAGACCCTCAGGGTTATACAAAAGTACATACAAGAGGAAGTGAGGGGAAAGGGAAAAATAATACAAGGGGGACAAATGAATGTCAGTAGAGGGGGCAGAGAGAGAAGAGGGGAGGGGAGGGGAGGGGAGGGGGGATAGTAGAGGATAGGAAAGGCAGCAGAACACAACAGACACTAGTATGGCAATATGTAAATCAATGGATGTGTAACTGATGTGATTCTGCAATCTGTATACGGGGTAAAAATGGGAGTTCATAACCCACTTGAATCAAAGTGTGAAATATGATATATCAAGAACTGTGTAATGTTTTGAACAACCAACAATAAAAAATTAAAAAAAAAAACAATGGAGGGACGGTAGCGCTGGGGATGCCAGTGTGGACAGTGAGGCTAGTGCTACAGGAGGCAGGCGGGGTGCAGGGAGGACACGTGAGGCCCACTTGGCCTAGCCAGCAAGGTCTGTCTCCCGACTTCGGAGGTTGTTAAAAAATGCCCATAAAACTGAGCAAAAGACACTCAGCAAACATTTTCAGCAGCAGGTGTCTTGCAGGGCTGAGGCCCTGAGAGGACCAGACACAGCACGGACTCTGCGTCTGCACCAGTGTCCATCTGGGGCCACTTTCCAAACAAGGCTGACGGAAAGTGGAACCCCAAAAGAAGAAGAGGCCCTGCACAGCTCGGGCTGTGGCGGTCACGAGGTTGGCGGGGCAGGGTCAGGAGAAGGCAGAGCTGCACAGAGCAGACCAGGAAATCCCCAGGCTGGTCCTCTGTGGGTGGAGCCAGATGTGCCGCGCGCAGTGGGCTCCCTGAGGCCTGGCGGAGAGCAGCTATGGGGGTGCCTGTGCACAGATTGACAGAGACCACACAGCACCAGACGGGGAGTCCCAGCCACCACGAGCAAGCAGACCAGTGCTGGGACCCTGGGCCCTGGAGGGAGCACAACAAGGCCACTAGTTATACCCAGGAGCAGGGGCTCTGCCCACCCACCCCACCAAAACCTGAAACCAAATCTTCGCGGGAACCCACTGAGCTGCCTGCATGTTAATTGCTGTGTACTTGCCGGGGAGCCTCCAATACTCCTAGAGAAAGACAGCAGAATCCATTCTCCCTGAACAATGTAGCACTTACAATAACCAGCATGAAAAGTTTCTAAATATAGAAGACGCAGGAAAATGTAAACCATAACCAGAGGGGAAAAGAGTCAAGAAAGAGGCCCCAAATCACAGTTTCTTCAAGGAAATGTGGGAGAACACATATGCAGCTTCTGTAGCAGAGACAGCATAACCATAAATGGAAAAAAGGGTGAACTACTAGCCTTTAGCAACATTAAAGTTTCTTTTCATCATTAGAATCTAATATGTGAGAAAGTGTTCATCTAACCTATACCTGACAAAGGGCTTGTATGTAGAACATTAAAGAACTGCAACTAAGTCATAAAAAAACAGCTCCAGAAAAGATGGACGAAAGACTTGAACGGATACCTCACCAAAGAAGATAGTGAAATGGCCAGTGAGCACAGAGACTTGAAAAATCTCATCACCCTGTATGTGACGGTCAGCGCACAGTGCTGAAATTTATTCTGCACTCAAATATCTGTTAACGTATACAACACAAAGTAGTGATGAAAAATATAGAATAGACTTCAAACTTGGAGGGTCAATCCAAAAGGATCCAAAACCGATAAGTGAGAGTTTCCAGAAACAACAGAAAGAAGAAAAAAAAAAAACATGATCTTAGAAAATTAACAAAGTCTCCCTGAACTGAAACATGTAAGTTTATAGCTTGAACAGGTGCCCCAAGTCCTCAGTAATGAATTTTGAATATAATCACAGCAGAACTTTCAGATCTATTTGCCAGGGGTGGTAGGGAGGAAGTTATAGGGCCCTCTACCCCAGCCTTTTCTGTTTTCTGAGACAGGGTCTCACTGGGTTGCAGAAGGGGATCTTGAATTATAATCCTCCTGCCTCAGACTCCCAAGTCACCGGGATTACAGCCTGTATGTCACACCTGCCAAGCCCTCAGATTTCTATGGATATCTGAAAGCTGTCAGAAAAAGATTGGGGTTCATACAAAGATGAGGAGTGAAATCAAAAGGCCAGGACCTGAGCGATAATATTGCAAGCTAAAAGTCAAGGATCACTGCATTAGAAGTCTGGCAAGAAGCTTATTTCTGATCTAGATTTCTGTAGCTAATGCTGGTGATATAGCCCAGTGGTAGAGCATTTGTGTAGCATACAGAAGGCCCAGGTTTCAATCCCTAGCACTGAAATAAAAAATCAATTGCAACAGCAAATGATCATATAATTCAGTTTGGAAGTTGTAATCGGTCTTCACATGGGTACCACAGGCACAAAATGCTGCCTTTGACTAGCATCTAAGTGCTTCTGTCTTTATCTGCTCTTGGATCTAAGAGCAGTTTTGCATGAACCTTAAAGTCTTAACTACAAGCTGGGAAATGCACCTAAGTTATCCAAATTTTATAAAATTGATGTTAATCATAGCATACAGGCCACTAAATGTTCTTGTTCTATTTGTTGGTCAAAGCAAATATCCTCCCAGCTACTGAGAAGTCTCAACAAGCCAGGCTAAAAGTAGAGGTGGTGCTGTAACAAGGACCAAGGGTGGGAAATTCAGACGGGGTTTTTGTCTGTCTTTTGGTTTGTGAAACTGTGCCTGTGAGAGACAATCCCATGTGTTCGTGGGCACATAGCTCTATGCCCACATGTACATACACATAGACACATCCGCACACATGCACATATATGTACACACACCACACACATCCTATGCACATACATGTACATGCTGCACAGATGGACATGTGTCTGTATACCCGTGTGTGTTGTGTGAAAAGCTCCCGCCTGCACACAACATTGCTGTCCTCTCTCTAATCTATTGAACTCCACAGGTCTCTCTCCTGCTGAAAGCCAGGCATCCATTTCAGGAAAATAAGCAGGAAAAACTGGTACCTTCCCAGAAAGGATCCATGGCCTCTGGGGGACAAACGCCTGTGAATTATTCGTAAACGGTAGACAACGAGGTGACGTGGAGAGTGTCATAGGGAGGTCTGGACCCGCAGCCATGGATCATCTGAGCTGCCCTGGAGCCGAGCCTCAGAGCAGGCGGAGTTTGTGGGTGACCACATGGTCACCTGTTCTAGGCGAGGGGCCTGGGACTATACGTGACTGGACAGAACAACATCCACACCTGAGGGAGGGGAGATCAGGGAGGACTGGCCCAGGACTGGCCCAGGCAGCTGCAGGACGGGACAGATTCAGTGTCCACCTAGAAATAGCACTCTGGTGGCGTCGCCTCAGGGTTCCGGGGCTTGTCTTGATCAGGAATGGTGAGACAGGCAAACGGACAAGGCTGTCACAAGGAGAAGAGCCCCAGCAACGGGGCTTGGCAGGCGGGGGCCGCAGAGGATTGGCTGCTGTGTCGTTTCCCAGGGCCTGGGCCAGGGGCAACCTCCTACGGGCGTGGCTGGACTGGAGTGCGAAAGCCCAACAGGCAGAGGGGCTGCGGCGAGGGTGGACTGACGGCTGGTTGTTTGGCAGGTAAATGTCTCCCCAGGAATTAGCTGATGTCAGAGGAGCGTCCCTCCAGAGTGGGCAGCCCAGGTGTCAAAAAGAAAGGAAAGGAAAAGGAAAACGTGTGAGCAGGAGGCAGAATGGGCCAGAGCAGCAGGACAGCGAGAGGCCTGACCTGGACTAGGCAGCGCCTGCGGGAGGCTCCCGCTGCTGTGGCAGCTGTGACGGCTGGCTCCAAATTCTTAGCTACTCCTCTCATCGAGATGGGGAGTCCAGGTCTCCTGCTTCTGAATCTGAACGATGGTGACCACCTCAGTCAGTGGGTCCAGGAGAGTGCTGCAGGTGGCCCTCCGTAGGCAGGATAAGAGCTTGCTGTTCCTCCTGGTTTTCCTTTAGCACTTATCCTCTAAAGGTCCCCTCCTGAGAAGATTCCTCTGAAATCCAGCTGCCATACCAGGGGACCCCAGAGGGGCCACGTGCAGGCCCTCTGGTGGGCAGTCTCAGCAGGGTTTGTCCAGCCACTATGTGCAAGAGGGTCCCAGTGTGGAGTGCATCCTCAGTGACTGGCTCAATGTGGCAGTGAAGGACAGTCGAGGCAGGTCAGGGGATCTGGGCGCAGGAGAACAGTGGTCCCTATTTCTGGTATACTCTATGAACACAGCGGTGACTTTGCCCCATGTGCACACCATGACGCCTTCAGGGCAGGGTCAAGGCTGTCACTGTACTTTCAGACCCAATGACTTGCTCCAGAGCCCAAGGCTGGTCCAGGTGAAGATGGGTCTAGAACCTTCTTTTTTCCATCCCAACAGACACCCATTAGTCTCACACACGACTTGGTGTCAGCACCAAGAAGCAGTTCCCCACAGCTTTCAGGTGGATCCCTCCCCAGGAAGCGCGAGCCGTGCCTGGGCCTCTTGGTTTCTAGCTGGCACGTTCCCAGACCTTCCCCAAGAGGCAGCTGCCTGACCTGACCTCTCCCCGTGGCCTCTGCAGGTGCACAGGCCCAGTGTTCTCAGCAGCTGGAGCCCAGTTACTTGTTAGCTTGGCCAAAAGGTCTTGCCTCAGAGGACATTCAGAATCTCCTTTTCACAACAGCCTCTCACTGGTTTTTCTCAGGTTGAAACTAGCCATCAGAGCAACAGGCTCTGGTTCCCAGCTGCAGGGGTGGATGCGAATGTGTGAGCTTCAGGTGAGTCACAGTCCAGAAAGCAGCCCTCACAGTGACGTGCCACCTCCCTCGTCAAATGGACACTTGCACTTCTGTGTGGAGACCATCCAGAGCCACGTGGGCCGCTACACTGCCTGCCACCAGGTCAGCACAGAGCCCTCCTTTGTACCTGGCCCCTGATGCCGTTCAGGCGTCCACCGCAGTCTAGGAGGTCTCCAGGACTTGGCCTGGTCATTCAGAAGGTCCTTGCACGCCTGGGGAGAGGGGAGCAGGCACATCCCAAGGGCTCCTTTACCAACACTGATTGTCCTAAACAGGGAGACCTGCTGGGGCGGGCAGCTCCTCCTGTCTGTAAGGAAGAGCCAACACAGACCCATTGAGAGGCCCAGCCCTTAAGCACTGCCTCAGGGTGGAAGGCCTTCCAGGCCACCAAGGACCACTGGAGGGGACAGAGCCCAGGGGAGGGCCCTCTGCCTGGTTCCTCATCTGTGCCCTTAGAGCCCAAGGTGCTCAGTGGAATGAGAAAGGAGGATTCACCCTAACGAGCTCGGGGTTTGATCTCAAAGGTGAGACCAGGTTTCCAGCTGACTCCACCAATTTAATAAACTCCTCTCCAGCTCAAGATCTTGGCAAAGTTAAAGCCTGTGGAGACAGAGGGAACACTTGGTTTATTCTCATGTTGAAGTCCTAACCCTCCTAAGTCTTGGGGGTGCAAGGATGAGGGAGGGGTGATTAGGGTTGGGGTGGGTCCTCATGATGGGATTAGTGACCTTACAAAATGGACCCCAGAATCTTTGTTGCCCCCTCCACCATGTGAGGCCCAGCAAGAAGGTGCTGCTTGTCGTAGGTAAGTTTTAAACTTGTTCCTTTCCCATTGAAGTGTTCTTAATTTAATCCATGAAAAACTGACAACAGGGATTAATAGGGAAACAAGAGCGATTAACAGAGAAAAGAAGATAGCCATCTTACCCCTTGAGGGAGGCCGCCGTCTTGCCGGGCAGAGGAGGCCTCCCAGGTACCAGCCCCTGTGGCAGTGTGTCTGGGCCATGGCATGCCCCAGGTCTCCTCCCCCAGTGGAAAGATCTTTCAGGTTGAAAGTGGGCAGAAGCTACAGAAGCTGTTTCCGTCCCCCACTGCAGTTGCGGTCCCCACGCAGACTTCCTTTAAACTTACCAGAGGGCAGCCTTTCAAAGCCACTACTGTGTCTGCAGAAGGTTTGTTTTTCTAATTCAAAACGTGTCAAAGAAATTCATTTGTAATGGGCTATTTCCCTCTACCTCACGATGGACCAGGAGGGCGCTGACTGCCCGCACCTTTGACCCCAAGTCCTGGCTGGAGGGCCTGGATTGTGAGTGGGTGTCTCTTCCAGCACAGAAGCATCTCTCAAGGACCAGGAACTCAGAATGCAACCTCAGAAGAGGAGGCCGTCTCCCAGGCTCCCTGGAGGGCGCGGCTGCCGAGGTCTCCTTCATGCTCACCAACCCTTGAACTTCCCACTTCTCTGGTTCGGTGGAGCTCCTTACTTCTCCTGCCTGTAAAAAGCCCAAATCAGCGCTGCAGATGTAGCCCAGAATAGAGCCTGGCACTCGTGAGGCCCTGAGTTCCGTTCCCAGCACCAAGAAGAAAGAAAGTCAGAACAGAGCTCAGATCTTGCCCTACTGTCAGGGCTTTTTTTTTTTTTTTTTTTTTTTAATAGTAATGTTTCTATTTCCCTTTTTCAGTCCTGGAATCAAACCCAGGGCTGGGTAAGTGCTCTACCCCACGGCCGCCCCTCAGGCCCTAACTTCCTCATATCTGGCTGTGGTGTAAGATCTTTGCGGGCAGACCACGCTTCCCTGGGAAGCGGCTTCAAGTCTGCCCTGCAGATGACCCTGAGCTAGGCTGAGCTAGAAGTCTCACACCCAGGGCCTTAGACAGGGTGGGCACACAGACAGGCTGGGAGCCTCAGTCACGGACTAAAACCAAGATGGATCTCATCAAGACCGAGACAGCATCAGACCCATCAACTCCCAACGCCCTTGAACACCCTGCTTGTGACCAGCTGGGGAGACAGATCTGAGCAGGCCTCTTGCTCCCCTGTTGGGTGACATTCAATAAAGCTCTTTCTTTTAGCCCTTGTTTGGTTGACCTTGGACTTTCCAACTTTGAGAACTGTGAGAAACACGTTCCCGTTGTTTATCAGCCTTCTGATTTTTGCTACAGCAGCTGAACGGGATAACACCCGTGCCCAACATGCATCAGAAAACATGTTCTTTACTCCTATTTGAATTACAGTGTTCAGATGTCGACTTACAAAGTGTGCAGAGTTTTCAAAATTGGTTTACAAGTCTGAGGGTGAAACCTTTGCATTCTACTGTGTCACAGTCCAGTGCCAGCGGAGATTAGGTCGGCTTCTCAAGTGGGTAAGAGGCAGGTGGCAGGTGTTTGAAGCCGAGTTCTAGAGCAGAAAGGCTTCCTCACCACTTGTCTGCCACCTGGCTTGACTCAGAGGATGTTGAGCTGGGGTGGTGGCCTCTTGGTGTGGCTTAGGCTTCCTTGTACCTGACAGGCTTAGGGGAATGGGCAGGCCATGGGGTGAGTGCTCCTCTTTGGGAGATGGGGTACTTGTGACCAGCCTTGAGACCCGAGGTGCTTCTGACACTCTGCTGGCTGAAAGGGTCTCGGCACAACCGTCTTCAGGAGGATGGACTATAAAGCCCATTTTTCCCTGGAATGGGGTACAGTGATCTGTGATCTTGCTTCAAAACTGCCAGCAGAGATGACCTTCCCTGTTCTCAATCCATCCAGTTACAATGTGGCCCGGTAGGAGGGCACAGCTTGACCTAGGGCACCTCTCCATTGCCCTCCCAGTGGACGGAGGTACCTGGCATGTTTCACGCCCTGACAGGCTGTACACCAGAGCGGCAGGATTTTCTTTTAAGTCTTCACAACAAGAAGAGTCTTCTTCCTTATAACAGGGATTCCTACCCTAACCCCAGTGACCACCTTTCTCCCCAGGGTGCTTCTAGAGCTCTCAGGGATTGGTGGGTACACACAAAATACTTTCCATCAGTGACCTCATGGCCTGAAGACTTCTTGGCACATTTATTGAAGTATGATTTTCAAAAAGTTTAATTATAGTTCTCATACAAGTGTGTGGTAAGTGCACGTCAAAAGCCCGGTCATATGGAAAACATCAGGATGGTAAAGTTAGCTCAAGAGAGCCTGAGAGACTATTTTCTGAAGAAAGATGAGGAATGAGATTGTTAGTGACAAAACTGTTTGATGCCCTGGAGGGGAGTAACACTTAACCTTTGGAGTTATCTTTGCTAAGGGACATAAGTACTTTGCATTGTAACCAACTGTAAGAGTTAACATACAACTCCATGGAGCCCTGATTAATAACAAATGCTAAGCCAAACAAAAGGCAGATCCCCCTAAATCAGCAGTTCCCCAAAGGTGATCAGCAGACCCTTGGAAATGATCTCATCCCCACAAAAGATCAAAATCATTTTTTTTCATTTTTTATTGGTGCATTACAATTAGGCACAATAGTGGGATTCTCTGTGTTATATTCGCAAGTGCACATAGCATGTACTGGGCTCCCATTCTCCTGTATCTCCCCTTCACGCAGCTGGAATGGGATAACACCTGTACCTTCCCCGTCCCCTTTCTGGTCTTCCCTCTATTTTCTCTGGGTCCCTTTTCTTTCCAGCTCCCACACATGAGAGAAAACCTGAGTCCTTGACTTTCGAGACTGGCTTATCTGACTTAGAACGATGTTCCCCAGTTCCATCCACTTTCCTGTAAGTGACTAGACTCCAGTCTCCTTTATGGCTGAGTACAACGCCCTGGGGTGCGTGCACCACCTTTTCTTCATCCATTCACCTGTTGACAGACTCCTGATCTGGTTCTGTAACTTGGCTAATGTGAATCACGGTGCTAGGGTCGTGGGTGTGTGTATGCTGAACCACCCTTACACCCCTGAACTGAAACCAGATTATTATGATGGACAGTCTTCTTCATGCATTTTTGAATACAAATTGCTAATGTTTTAATTAAGGATTTTTACATTTCTGTCCATCAAGGATATTCGTCTGTAGTTTTCTTTCTCTGATGTGTTCTTATTTGGTTTTGGCATCAGGGCGATACTGGCTCAGAGGATGAATTTGGGAGTGTTTCCGTCTTTCTACTTCATGGAAGGTTTAGAGGAGCAGTGGTGTTAGTTATTCTTTGAAAGTCAGGTAGAATTTAGCTGTGTATCATCTGGTCCTGGGCTTTTCTTTGTTGGAATGGAAGACTTTTTATTACTAATCCAATCTCATTGCTTATTACTGATCTGTTTAGGTTTTCTGTATCTTCTTGATTCAATTTTGGTAGGTCACATGTGTCTAGAAATTTGTCCTTTTTCTCTAGATTTTCCATTTTATTAAATATGATTTAATGACTCTCTAGGTTTCAGAGATATGTATGGTATTTTAGCATTTAATTTTATTAGTTTGGGTCTTCTATTTTGGTTAGTTTTATCTAAATATTTATCAATCTTATTTATCTTTTCAGAGAACCAAGTCTTTGTTTCATCGATCCTTTGTATTATTTTTGTATTCTCTATGTCACTAACTTCAACTCTTGATTATTTCCTTTCTTCTACTGATTTTGAAATTGGTTTGTTCTTTTTTTTTCTAGGGCTTTGAGATGCATCATTAAGTTGTTTATTAGGGATCTTTCTGATTTTCTTATGTAGGCACTCATAGCTATAAACTTTCTTCTTAGAACTGCCTTCTCTGTCCCAGAGATTCTGATAATGTTTCTATTCTCATTTGATTATAGAAATTTTTAAATTTATCCCTTTATTTCCTTTCTTATCCATTCATTGTTAAAAATATACTGATCAATCTCAATTTGTTTATGTAATTTCTATGGTTTTTCTTACTGTTTATTTTATTGTATTATGATCTCATAAAATTCAAGGAATTTTATTGATTTGTTTGTATTTGCTCAGACTTGCTCTGTGTCCTACAATAAGGTCTATTTGGGAGAAGTTTCCACAAGTGGCTGAGAAGAAGGTAAATTTAGCTGTTGGATGAAATATTCTATAGATGTCTATTAGGCTCATTTGATTTAAGGTATTTTTTAGGTCTAATAAGTCTTTACTGAGTTTATGTCTGACCTGTCCATTGGTGAGAGGAATGTATTGAAATTACCCAGTATTATTGAATTGGGATCTTTTGAGTTTTTACATCAAGTAGTTAGTGCTTGTTTTATGCACACTGATGTTTGAGACATAAATATTTTTACTGACATTATATCTTCTCATTGGATTGTTCCCTTTACCAGTATGAAGTGATTTTTTTTGTCTCTTATTAATTTTTGTTTGAAATCTGCTTTATTGGATATAAAAGTAAATACTCCTGCTTGTTTTTGGTCTTCATCTGCATGGAATATCTTTTCCCATCTTTTCACTTTCAGCCTGTGAATGACTTTGCCTAAAGATGAGCCTCTTGAAAACAACATATACTTGGGTCTTGCTTTTTAATCCAATCTACTGTCTTAATTGGAGTGTTGTGAACATTTATATTCAGTGTTATTAGAGGGCGATGTTTATTATTTCCTTCTCTGATTTATTTCTAATGTTTAATTTGGTCCTACTTCTCATTTGCTTAGTTATGTTTCTAATGAGATTCATCCCTTTGGGGGTTCTGAAGACTGTTTTTAACTTCTTTTTGTATACAGTTTCCTTAAGTACAGAAATTTAGTGCATGATTTGGTTGTGAATTCTCTTAGTTTATGCTTATCTTATTTCTTCTTCAATTCTAAAGAATAGCTTTGATGGATATAGCAATCCTGGTGTGCAGTTAGTTTCTGTTAATTAGAGTCTGCTGAGAAATCAGAAGTAATTCTGATTGGCTTACCTCTAAACGAGACCTCATGTTTTTCTCTTGAGGCTTCAAAATTATTTTTGTAATACCTCCAAGATGTCTTTGGCCCTTTTTGGCTGTTTTGGCATTTATATTAGTGGTGGGTACCACTGCAGCAACCAAGAGTTGTGACACCAACCACAGAGTATTGGTCATTGCCTTGTTGATGTCTCACTCCCAGGCAAGGAGAAGAGGTCAATTTGACATGCCAGTGTCCTTGATGAGGATGTAAAAAGTGTTAACTTTATTAGCCTTGATCTTTGTGTACACATTACCAAACATTGTGTGGGATGAGAATGGCCCTGCACTCTTTACTGCACTGAAGTATGTTGTCTCCCTCAAGGTGCTTGGGTGCTGAGCCAACCTCGGGGCACCGTTGTTAGTTGAAAAAGCAACTGACAGATGAGATGATTATTTGGACATCAGTATTTAGAGTATTTTTCCAAAATGAGTGCAGTTAGTGTGTTATTTTAAGGAAAACAACTAACAGTATTTGTTGTCAATGATAAAAGTGGAGTGCTCAAGTGAAAACTAGAATTTTGGAAAGCTGTGTCTGCCACTGTGAGCTTAAAAGCTTTCCCATTCCCAAAGAATCTTCTGACCAGGTCAGTGGTGGCATTAATGAAGACGATTCCTTGGGTCGGGTATGATGAGACATGGTAGCAATGGGAAACTCTGAGATCTCAGTGAACCAATATCATCCAAATGACCCAAGTGTAGTGATACAAAATCATGCATGGTGTGATGGTTTTGATGCTGTAACAAATTGCCACAAACTCATAGGTGTACAACAGCACGATTCTCTTATCTGACAGTTCTGCAGTTTCAGAGCCTGATCCGAGTCTCCTTGGGCTTAGGTCATAGTATATATTGGACCATTCTCCTTTCTGGAGGCTCCACAGGAGAATCTGCTTCCTGGTCTTTCCAGCAGCCAGAGGCCACAGCATTCCTTGGCTCATGGACCTCTTCTTCCAATGCATGAAGCCAGGAGCAGTGGGTTGGGTCCTTTCCACGTGGCATCCCTCTGGTCCTCTTCTGTAGTTACCTCTTCCTCTCAAGGTCCTTACCAATTGCATTTTGCAAAAGTCTCTTTTGCCGTGCAAGGAACAAATCCAGGGTTCTGGTGAGTAGCAGGTCAGTGACTTTAGGGGCCATGACTTTGACTATTGCACACGGGCAGAAATTCACTCAAAGTTCTAGATGGTGCTATGCGTTCTAAAGTCCGAATGGGAAAAGAGTGATACAATTTCAGATTCCACAGGGCAGCTGAAAGTTTAGAGTTTTTGTTTATATCTAAAAAGCTGTTAAGTCCTCCTCCCCTCTCCACCTAGATATCTGTGTGGAGCTGAATTTTCATTATCAACTTTAATTAAACAGCACATTTCAGTGATCGAATGCAGGAGCAAATATAAGAATCAACTTTCTTCTATTATACCTGACATCAAAGAGATTTGCAAAACTGTAAAGTAATGTTTCTTTTTTTACCATGTTAATTTTGCTATACAAAATGTTTTTAAAGACATAAATTTTAATAAAAACGTGACTTTATAATGGGCTCATTATAAGAGTTTTTAATTTATCAATTTTAAAATGTTCTCTGATTTAAATTTTTAATAAGCTAGATGTCATTAAATATAATGCATATAAGCAGAGGTTCTTTGGGGGCCTCAATGACTTTTTCAGTTCTTATTAGTGTATCATAGTCGTACATAATACTGTGTAATCACTCAAGCATAGAATACAATTTGCTCCAATTCAGTCCCAACTTCCCCTTTCCCGCCCCTCCTCCTCCCCTATCCTTTTCCTCTATTCTATTGATCTTCATTCTATTTATTTATACTTTTTAAAAATTAGTGTCTTATAGATACACATAAAGGTGAAATTCACTGCGGTGTATTCAAAGGGACCTCAATAATTTTTAGGAGTATAAGGGATCCTGAGACCAAAAGTTTAAGGATGGCTTCATATAGAATAAATGAATCCTCATGAGATGATGTTTCCAGATGGCTTTGGAGGGACCTGTCCTCGTCCCCTGTGCTGTTTCTTGACAAATGTTTTCAAGATCTCCTGTGCTGTAGATTGGGGAACAAGGGTGAGCCGACTTGGGGTGCTGGGCCGTGTCGCCATGACCCACTATTTAGCTGTGCCCCTTTAACACACTGTAAGCTTCGCAAGGCTTGACTCCCTTCCTCTGTGAGGTGGGCACGACACCTGCTTTGTCTAGATCGGGGGTTGTTAGAAAGCTAAGCAGGATGATGAGAGGAAAATGTCTTCTGACTGAGAATTTGCTGGGTAAGCTGTTCTTTTTAATCTAACCTACAGAATAAAATCTGTGGACAAAGTGCTCCTGGCTGAGTGGATAAGGGAGCTAAACAACGCGGAGCAAGCACAGACCAATTTAGTGCCTCTCCCAGCCACAGCATGAAGGTGGCAGTCAGAACGAGGACACAGCTCTGTCCCAAGGCGCTTGTGTGTGCTTGTGTGAAGAGGCTGAATCAGGACAGGACAGGAGTGGGGACTCAGAAGAAGCTGGGCCTGCCCCGAGTTCTGGCAGATGGACTCCAGCGGGGACGCCACATGAGGCCAGCGCTTTAGCAGGGACAGGTGGGGTCCCTGGGACCCTCCGCTCCTTCTGGCTCATTTCTGGACTGCAGTCTGTGCTGGCCCAGGGCGACCCTGCTCTGGTCGGCTCTCCTCCCCAGCAGCCCCTGCAGGCTCTCTCCCCCTCTGTTTGACGTCTGTCCTGCTGGACACCCACCCACAGGGCTGCCCCAGCAGTGGGGAGCCGGCGGGCAGGCGTCCCGGGACTCCCGCAGATGCCCACTATGAGGGAACCTTGCTTCCTTTAAACTAGCAGAGGCAAGTCATGAGTCGTCACCTTTATCTGGTCCAGGGAAACTATTCTGTGACTTAACCAGCTTCCCAAACCAGAGTCTGCCCCAAGGAAAAGAGAAAATTACTTTAATGACTAGCTATACCTTGAAGAAGGAGCAAAGTAGCATTTAGAACAAATAGAGTCGCCTTGTAAGTCTGTAGCCAAGTGCTTGCAAGAGATTAAAGGGAGATGAGAAGAGATATAAAATACAGGACCAAAATAGCAAAATAAGAAAGTCCTTTCATCCTAAATTTGACTTATAAATGTCATTGAACTCATGATTTTTTTTTTTTTTTTTTTTTTAGGAAAACAAAAACAACCAAAGGAACAAAGCTTACTTCTTAGCTCTGTCAACCAAGCAGGGTTAGAAAGTCAGCATCCCTCAGGCCAGGACTGCCACCTCCGAGGGCCCAACTCCATCAGAAAGGACAGAGCTCTTCTGAGCAACATAAGGTGGGAGAAGCAGTATTTGAGGATAAAAAGTGTCATGGTTCAAAAATGGATTTTTGAAATAACAAATGACAAAAGCTATAATGAAAACCTAAAATGATGGCCCCAAACAACTCAAAAGTCAAATGCATAGAACCCCAAGACTGGCCAGAGTGCTCTGGAGGTGGTGCAGGGGATATGCACCTGGCTGTTGCCTTACGATGTGACCTGATCAGTGGCCCCAGGTTTGTGATTCACTGAGGGTGGTTGATAAAGAACAGGAAGAATAATAAAGGGTTTTTGCTCTGTTTCAATTCAAGTTTCCTGAATACTTGATTCCTGTCATTCCCTTGATTGCTAAGGGCAACCAATGAGAATCTGTTCTCTGGAATACTATGCTTTCGGGTACTTGAACCTGTCTGATCTCCTGATCCACTGTAGTTGTTATTATTATTATTATTATTATTATTATTATTATTAGTGCTCACAAGTCATTCCATTCCTCTATCAGGAGCCCTTTGAGAAGCTCCTGGGTCCCTGCAGCTCAGCCCCAGCTGCCTTCCGGCCTCCTAGCTTTCCCCCATCACCGTGCTCTGGTCTCGTTGCCCCTTCTCCCTGACACTGGAACAGCCACTTCTCCAAGGAGCTCTGGATTCTTGGAGAAAATGTGTATTTAGAAACCATACTTTTGGTCCTAGGGGGTGCTTAGTGCCCCTGGGGTGGTCATTATTACCAGGCCTTTCAGTAGACATGGCAAAGTGACAAAGTCTTGTTTGTTTGTTATATTAAAAGGCACACACACACATCATGAGTTCATAGTGAGATTTACAATTCAATTTTAGCATGACAAAACTTTTGCTTAATTTTGAATTCATTTCTAAATTTGTTTAATTTTATTTTTATATTTCCATTCTCTTATAACACCCCCAGTAGCATTAATATCATCACTTTGTTTGTTTCGTTAATTTATTTAACTACACGATAACAATGCTATATAATTACAAAATGGAAACTGAAAGCAGTTTAATATGCTTTGCAGGGATTTTTGTTTTTGTTTTTTGCTTTAGGATGTGTCCATTAGGAAACGCAGTCAAAGCGATGTTTTAAAGTCACTTGAAATAATGCTCTCTGTGGTTAAGCAATCTTCCCGATACCTAATTCCATACATTTCCTCGACTTTGCTTTTAGTTTTCAGAGGTTGCCAAGAATTAAGTTTTGTTGTATAATCATAAAAACGGTCGTGTTCAAGGTCAAATACACAAAGCAACTGCATTCAGGGGGCTTCCCCCCACCCCTGGGTCTGCTCCTCCACCCAGAACCACTTCTTTGAGTTGCCAGGGTGGGTGGCGCACTGTCCCCCAGTGCTGGGCAGGCGTAGCCCCTTATGTTGCTCACACTTTCTGTGGGTCCTGACTCTAGACAGCTCCCGTGACGTCTGGGGTCTCGGCTGTCTCAGTCCATCTTCTGTGGCTAGGGACACGACACCACAGACCGGGCAAAATGTAAAGAAGGGGGGTTCATTTAGCTCCTGCTTTAGAGGGTGAAAGTCCAGACAGTGAGGGGCTGGCTCTGGGGTGGCCTTCCTGCTGGCAGGCTCTGGAGGGCACAGCCTCACATGGCAGAGAGGAGCAGTGGGGGCTCACATGTGCACATTTCCTCTGACCCTCTCCCGGGCCACCAGGATTCCACCCTGAGGGCTCTACCAGATGACTTTATGTAATCCTCAGACCCCTCCCCTAACTCCGTGGGCCATTAATTTTCCACCCTCTTGACATTCACCATGGGGACTGGGCTTCAGCATGAGTTTCAGAGGGGACAAACCGTAATGGGGACATGGCGCAGCTGGAGGTTGGCACCAGGGAGGTGGTGGATGCTGGCTGAATGCTGTTCCAGGCTGAATGCTGTTCCAGGCTGAATGAATGCTGTTCCAGGCAGGCCTCCCACGTGTCTCTGGATACAGGTTAGTGTGTACCTCCTCACAGCCTGTTGGCTGGTCTTCTCAAAAGAGAGGAAGCCAGGTGGGGGCTGCCCCAGGGTGGAAGCCACACTATCCTTGCTGTGCTCCTCTGTCCAGGAGCCGAGAATCCCATCCCCATCTTTGGCAGGGTCTGGAAGGATCCCCGTGTCTTGATGTGGCAGCAGCTGGATTATGAAGAGCAGATGGGGCTGCAAAAATGTCACTGCACTGCGCTTTTGGGAAATGTAAAGCCCTACAACATGTTAGGGTTTGCTTTTTTTTTTTTTTTTGGTGCTGGGGATTGACCCCAGGGCTGCTCACCCACTGAGCCACATCCTCAGCCCTTTGTATTTTTTATTTTAAGATGGGGTCTTAAAATAAAAAAAAAAATGTAGCTCATCAGCCAGGCGGAGCTGGTGAGGCCAGAAGTGTTATCTGCGAGGAGAAGAGAAAAAGGGAAAGGAGGCAGGTGACCAGGAGAAGGCCTTCCTCAGCTTATATCACCAGCTCAACTGCAGAGACGCGGTCACGGTGACCCCCGGTGTGGCTATGAGAGCCTGAGACCCCAGGTTGGTGCAGTGAAGAGGGGGCCACGTTGCTCCCCTTATCCCCGCCAAGATGCAGGCCTAGAGCTATACCTCCGGCAGGTCCCCACCAGGAGCCCTGCTTTCCCTCTGTCTCAGCGAAGGTCCCCAGCCTTTGAACTAGGAGGAGAGGCAATGCTGAGCTCTTCTAGGGACAGGGCACCGTGGGAAAGATGATGGCATCTTCTGTTTCAATCACCACGACCCTCTATGGAGAATATTGCTTTCCTGTCCTGCAAATGGGGAACTGAGCTTTGGAGAAGTCAATTAACTTACCAAGGGTCACACAGCTCCTCAGTGGGAGAGGCTGAACTTAACCCCGAGTTGCCTGCAATTAACCAGGTGCTACCTCTGCTCCCTAAGGAGACTTCTCCTCAACCCTGTGGCCCTCCACCACATCAAGAGCGCTGTGGGCTTTGTCCCTCTGGTTTGCAGGAACCTTGTCTTGCCCACCTTGGCCAGGATGGGCGTTGTGCTGAAAGGCAACCTTGGTATGTGCTTGGAACCCAACTGGCAAGCTCTCCTGTAGCTCCCGTTGGCCATTGTTCCTGAAGCTCCCAGGACTCCAGCGTCAGGCTCATTCCATTGTTCTGCAGCTGAGTGATTGCCAGTTGGCATCTGACCATTTCTCACCAACAGATGTTGCTGGCACACACACAGACCTCCCGTTAGGTCTGTGCCACCCTTGTGCTTCTGGTTACGCTGTCCTTCCACACGGAACGCAGAGAGCCCTGGCCATAAGTGCCTTCCTCTAGGTGGGGGTCTCTGCCCACTCCTTGCCCTCGGTTTTCTCACCTGGTTTTCAGTGCTCTTCCTCCTCCCTCCTCGGTCATGGTAACTCTACCACTCCTTGCGCCAGTCCTGATTAGCTGCTCTTCTGCCACCTGGGAGGGGTGTGTTCCCACTCTACTGGCGTCAGGTGTGGCATCTCACTTGTTTTGGTTAAAGGAATTTCAGTGAAAAATTCGACGTTATTGCTGGCAAGTCTGGGCCACCATGGGGTCCTGCCATTGTTCTGCCCTTTGAATGGGCAGTAGATTCATCCTGGGTTCAGAGTGAAGAAGACCATGGGCCGGGGCAGCCAGGATTACCAGCACAGGACAAGTTTCATGCTGGAGTCAATCACACAGACTTGGGAGTTATCTGTTACTGCAGTGAATCTGACAAAAATCCACATGAGAACTGGAAACAAGGAATCAAAACCGAGAAGATGATATGTAACAAAGCCTCCATAGAGGGCATTAAAGGGCATCTGTCCATGGAAATGCCCATTGCAGCCTGCCCTTGCCCCCTCCAAGGACATGCTGCTACGAAAGCTACCCTGGTCTCTTCAACCTCATCATCTGAACCTTCTCACCCTGTGTTGTGGGAACCGATAAAGTTACTGCGCTGGCTCCTGACCAGCTCCCGGATGCCCTTGTTCCTGTGAATGCTCTCCAGCCCCCCAAACTGTGCCCAAACTCCTCCTCAGCTGCCCCAGGAGCCACTCTTCCTCTCCTTCTTCCTTACACAAACATCTACTGGACACTCACTCTGAATGGCACTCCGTTTAGGGGCTTGCTAAGAGGACATTAGGGACAGATGTGCCAGGCTCACATCCAGGTTCTGGGGGTTGCAAATTATTTGGAGTCCCCTCTTTAAAAGAAGAATGCAAAATTACGAATACCGAATGAGGTATAGGCCTTGAAGGGCTCATGCGAGCAAGAGGGCCGAAGCTGACTCTTCCCTCACGTCACGGCCAGTGCCCTTATGGGAAAGGGGCCAGTGCCCTTACTGGGGAAAGGGAGGGCGAATGTGAAGAGGACATGGAATTCTCAGGTGATGGAGAGAGCTAAGTTGAGAAAAAATGAGGCCACACAACAGGAAATAGCTGGGTGGCTCCTTCAGAGTGGGAGGTGACATTGTTGAATTCTAACTGAGCCCTGTGGACTTGGAAAATGGCAAAGGTAAGAAAGCCCCTCACTCTCTGGGTTCTGGAAAATGGCTGATTGCCAAGGATGCCCCTCCCCCATATGACCTGGATAGAGGCACAGATGCCCCCCCCCCCCCGTCTGCCTGGCACAAGGCTCAACACTCACCCTCCAAATCCCCTTCTCTGCCTGTGGGTGACGAGCTGGACCGCCGGTGCCCGCTGTGAAGGGGAGCAGAACATTGCACCAGAACCTTGGGAAGGCTTCACTAAGGGCCTGGCTCACCTCGGGCAGGTGGAGGTGGGCCCCTGAGAGGAAGCTGCTCTCAGGGTAAGGCCATGAAGCCACGCCCCAACCCACAGTCTCCCCCCTCTCTACACAGAAGCCCTACCCCCTTCTGTGGAGCCCATTGTCCCCTCCCACTGCCCACTGCCGTCTGCCCCAGTCCATCCCACCCCAGTCCATCCCAACTCTCCATGTCCAGAGTTGGGTTTCTGTTTGGTAGGGGTTAAAACTGGCTTCTCTGAGAAGATATTTAAACAGACAGGACTGTGGGTGAGGGGAGAAGTAGGATTCTGGGAAATATTTTTGTTTTTAAAAGAAAGGAGAAGGAAGAGGAAGGAGCCATGGGGGCATGAGCTGGGGGTGAGGGGGTGAGACGGAGTTAAAGAGGCCAGAGAAAAGGAAGTGAGGAGGCCAGGGAAGGGGAAAGGAGGCCTGGTCAGCCCTCCTGCAACTCCTCTGCAGATCATGTGTTCATTGAGTACCTACTACATGCCATCACTGTGCCAGGTGGCAGGGCCGAGGTGGTGGGCAAGATGGACATGGGCCTTACTCTGCAGTCTAGAGGAAAAGACAAGTGTTAACCACATCTTATCTCAGACAGTCTGAGTGTTATTGGATAACACTGAGGCCTGCAGGAGAGCAGATTACAGGCCACCTGATTTAAAGTCACAGGAACCTGAGGAAGCCAGTTTTACTCAAAATGCACCTGTGACTGTCCATGTTGTAGTTGTGGGTGTGTGAGGAGCACAGGCTGGGGCACCTGTGCAGTTTGCCACCTGGCCAGGCAGGTGGGTGGGTGCAGAAACTGGACAGCAGGGTCTTATGGAAGAGGGCGAGGCCTGGCCCAGCACAGGAGGCTGAAATCCGGGACCTCTCCATGCACCCACCACAGACAGGCTCATGCCCCTGTCTGTCATTCTCTGAGGGAGTAAGTCTTCCGCATCACTGGGAGCTTCAGCAGACTGTTTTCCAAGTCTTGTCCCCCAAGGGCTTCTTGTCGATGTCAGAGAGGTGCCGTCCTAGTCTCTGGGACAGGTGGACTGGGGTGCAGGTCGTGAAGGCCAGTAAACACTAGCAGTGCTAGTGACATCGCAGATGCAAGGGCGACTGAGAGTTTACAGAGAACGACCCTTCAGATCCCACCCTATCTCAGGGACGTCCCTGCAGAAGGAGGTCACAAGGACCCGGGCACCCAGAGCTGTTCTGCAAGGAAGAGGTCTCTGCTATGTGCGGGGGCAGGCTCAGGACCGCTGGAGCAGTGGGTGGACAAGGGGACGCTGCGGCGGGTCAGCTTCGGGTCGCGGGCATGGGTCAGCTTTCCGGGGTGGCGAACGGCTGGGGCTGCAAGCGAAAAGGTGGGCCAGGTCGGGGCTGCGGGCTCCGGGGCCGCAGAGCTGCTGGAGATGGTGGCGTCTGTGCGTCCGGAGGCGGCGAGGGGACGCTCTCACAGGCCCTGGGGCGGAGGCCAGCAAGCCAAGCCAGGCGCCCACGCCACTCTGGCCCCTCCGCGGGCGAGCGCCCTCCGGGCCGGGGCGTGACTTCGGGCGGGTCCGCTGGGCAGGAGGGCGTGGCCAGGGCGCTGGGGGCGTGCCGGGTAGCTAGGCGTGGGCGTGGCGTCCGGGGAGGTGGGCGTGGCCAGGGCGCCCAGGTCCGCCCGGGGCGGGGCGGAAGCGCACTGGTCCCGGGCCGCCGGCGGGGGTCGCGGAGCTGTGCGGAGCCCGGGCGCGGTCGCGGAGAGCCGTCGGGAGGCCCCGAGGACATGGCGTCCCAGGCTGTGCGCTGCGCGCTCCTGGGCTGGGGCCTGGCGCTGTGCTGCCTGTGGGGCGCGGGCGCGGGGTGGAGGTGAGTGCGCGGGCCGGGAGTGCGGGCCGGTGCCGGGCTGCCCCGCGCCTCCTTCCGCTTTCTGTTCTGGGGCCCGCTCGGCCGCCGGCCCTCGCGTCCCTTCCGTGGCTGCCGCCTGTCCAGCCGCTAGGGGAGCACCGGCCGTCGCGGCTAACCCCGATGATAACCGTGCAGCGGACACCAACATCGGAAGACCACATTCTAATCTTTTCCCTGGGGTTTGGGTGAGGGTCCCGCTGATAGCATTTCATAGTTGCACAGTGGGGGTGGAAAACGGGATTTTACCTTTCAATTAAGCATCATCGCTGTTTTAGAATAGACTTAAGAGACAACTTTGTAGTTCAGAGTCTCCAGAAAGAGTATTTTCTAAGAGCTACGTTTGCATACTTTCTCACTTGCCTTAAGGAAGTAGCCCGTGGGCAGCCTGAGTGCCACCTGCTAGTTGCTCTCCAGCGGTGTGCACCTGGAGCCCTGCTGCTCTGTCCTCACCTGCCCGCGGAGCTAGTATCAGGAGGGAGCATTAGGGTACAGGAAGGGCTTGGAACAATTCCTGATGGATGGAATTCAGGTGTGTTTGCTGGAAACCTTAATTTGCATTATGTGGCGCTCCCAGACTCTCACTTAACTCCTGCAACTGATGTAATTGTGCTGGTTTGGGAGAGCATGGAGTTAATGCAGACTCCAGGGGCATTTCCCAAGTACTAACTGGGCTTGAAAATGTGGGTCTTCTGTGCTAACCTGACTCTTCTCTTTAGCCTGTCTTTGTTTCTTCATGGATAGAGTAGGTAGGATGGGTCTTTAAGGCTCTTGCCTGGAAGATAGATGGGAGAGTCTGCTACAAATGTTACATATGCTCCAAATCTTGCTGGGTTTATTGTAACATACTGACGTGGACTTCCTGGAAATTGCTTCACTTTGCAGCCTCAGGTTTTGGTAGCACCAGGGCCATGAAGGCCTGACCCCTAACACTTACCCCAGCTTGGTTCTCACACTGCAGTTCCTCTCTTTTTCTTTTATGCAGAGAGGGTGCATCATCAGTTCAGATTTCCACCATGATTGTGATTTACCTACTTACTCAACAGTACACGATTATTTACAGAAGCTTGTGAAACCAGAGTTTTGAGATAAAACTAGACTCTCTGCTTCACCAATTTCTTTCTAGGTTCTTGTCTGGCAAACTTGAAGACTAAAATCCATGGACAATAACCGAAGGGAAGAGTAGACAGAGTAGGATTTATTGAAGTGAGAAGAGGTAAAACTCACGCAGTGTGGGAGGAGACCTACAGCAGGGAAGTCCACTTTGGTGCTCTGGCTTCAGGACTTACCTGGTTGGGGGGTTATGAACACAGACTAAAATCTATGTCTAACAGGCATTGAAAAATCACCAAGGGCACTGGTTGTGTCTCTTAGCCTGGGTTTGTTTTTAAATATTTTTTTTTAAGTTGTCAATGGATGTTTATTTCTATGAGGTGCTGAGAATCAAACCCACACCTGCTAGGGAAGTGTTCTACCACTGAGCTACAATCCCAGCCCTTAGCCTGAGTTTTAATCCTTCCTGTAACAACCATTTGGTGCACTTCACCTTCTATTTTCCCACCTCTCTGGGACCAAGGAGTTGGCTGGAGTGTTCCCATAAATAGTCTTTTACATTTGAAAAACGCCTCCTCAATTGGTGCTCGTTAATACTTTTACTGGTTAGCCTCTAAGTGTGGACTCTGCCTTTGACTAAGGCCTAAACTGGAGCCCATTGCCCGAGCATTTCTAACTGGATTCTTAACCCTACAGTGTTGCAGATTTTGTGCTTAGGAGGAATTATCCTTATCTGCCTGAGTGGTCTGTGGTGTGGTCTGTGGAAGGGTCACTACAATCTCCCCCTCTGGCTAACTTGGGTTTCTCTTCTCCACGTTATTTTGGGCCTGTGTTCCTCACACAGGTAACAGGTGGTTTGCTGAGGAATGGGACATATCCTGTCCACCTAGGCCAGTCAGAGCTGCCGGTGAATTGTTTACTGAAAAAGGAAGCATGTGGGGGTCGGCACCTGGGCCCAGTTTATAGAACTGGTCCCTTAACCTCATGTTCCCACCATTCACATCTGTCCACCCCCGTCACTGGTTGGAGCCGCTGATTTAGTTCACTCTGAGTCTTCGTAACTCTTGACTTGCCCTGAATTGACTGTCAGCCTGACTGCTGACCTTTTTCACTTATATGTTTGCCAGCTGCACTTCTACTTTGATCTCTTTGCATATTGAGCCTTGTAAATATGGTTAGAGGCTCATCATGGTCCGTTTTGTGTGCTGTAGTGAGATACCTGTGCCAGCTACTTAGGAAGCAAAGGCTTATTTTGCTGTCAGTTCTGGAGGGTCAAGGGCATGGCTCCAGCACCCACTCAGCTCCTGCCAGGACCACATGGCATGGCAGTGGGCACAGGGGCAGGAGGAAGGATCACGTGGCCAGAGGAGCTGAATGGGGCAGGCTCAGGCCCTGTCACAGCCCTCATCCCTTCCTAGGTGATCCACCTTTTAAAGGTCCTGCCACCTGGAGACCAGGTCCCAACACACCAGTTTGAGGGGACCAACCATGGCGGGCCTCCTGCTGAAGAGCTCGGACTGTGGGAACTGCAGCTGCACCACCCTCAGCAAAGTCAGGATTGGGTGGGCTTCTGTATTCAGGCGGGGGGAGTTTGGTGCACGTTCTAGAAGACACGCGAGAGGGCGTGTAACGGAACGTTTTGAGAAAAACTTTGCTTTGGTGGCAAAGGAGAAGCACAGGGGACTCCTGTCCTGGAGGCTGTGATTCTGCGGGTCAGAAGGAACTGGAGGCTTTGAAAGAGGTGGTTCAAGAGCTCCATTCCTGGTGTTCCCTGTTGGAGTGGTCATTCGCTTGTTGATTTGGGGGGATGGTCATTCCTTAGATCTTCCGGTGCCATCCCAAAGTCTGAATTATTTCATTCCTATGATGGGCGTGTGTCAAGGACAGAAAACTCTGTCTAGGTCAGGCAAGAAAGGTAATGCTGTTCCCCCTGGGATTAGGGAGGAGCAGGGAGAGAGGAGAAAGAAACTTGTCCATTTTAAAAATAAGTCAGTGGCAGAGCAGCAAGGGCAGGATTCACAGCCTAAGTGGACCCCAGTGACAGGTGCAGTGCCCACACTGCATGACCTGGCGCAGCGTGTACACACGCTGTAGATAACACCGTGACAGGCACTGCACAGGCGGTGCTCCAGG